TTCCAGGCCAGCTCTCTGCTGTGGCCCAGGAGTGCAGTGGAGGATGGCCCAAGTGCTTGGGCCCTGCACCCCATGGGAGACCAGGAGAAGCACCTGGCTCCTGCCATCGGACCGGTGCAGTGCGCCGACCACAGCGCGCCAGCCGTGGCGGCCATTGGAGGGTGAACCAACGTCAAAAGGAAGACCTTTCTCTCTGTCTCTCTCTCTCTCTCACTGTCCATTCTGCCTGTCAAAAAAAAAAAAAAAAATTTAACTGAACTTGAAACAAAGTGAAGTGAAACCACAGGACTTGTGGAACTTCTCCAAAAAAGAGCAATTCGATTGTAAAAGCTTTTAAAATGTAGTACGAAATGCATTAAGAGTTTAGGATCCTGGAGACAGTTTTTTGTGTTTTTGTTTTTTTAGTTTTTTTTTTTCTTATTACATGTCTTAAATCTGGATGGTTCTAAACTTTGTACCTGGCATTTGTTTTATTCGGGTGTAGTAGAATGCACAGACTTAGAAATTGTCAGGAAGGGGCTTCCACTCACAGATCTCTAAAAACAGGAGCCATGGCATGGCACACAGGGTCACCTGGGGAAGGACCAGGGCTGAGCAGGAGGTGGAAGGAGGGAGGAAGGAACATGGTCCGGAGCCTGGACTGGGATTCTCATGGGAAGGAAGGGGTGAACCAAGTAGGCACTCTCACTTGGTTCAGGATGGCACAGTTTGAATGCTATGGGAGGGCTCTGGGTTATAGAGGGGGCTCTTGTTGTCTAGTATGTGGCCCTGGGGCCATTTGGGACAAGGGAAATACTGGCTTGGAGTGTGAGAGTTTGATGAAGGTTGAGGATGGTGGCTCTGGATTGGTTCGTTTACCAAAGGAATGGGATGAGTGGCAGGAGACACGCGGGGAGTCCCAGAGGAAGCTGCCCCTCCCACATCTGTCAAGTGGCCTCATGGACAAACTCCCTGCATTTGGTCAGTCATTATCTTCCTTTTCTCTACTGAGAACATCTGGATGAAGTCTGGAAAATAAACGCTGGGCAGGTTGTCTTTACAACCCTCGTACCAAGGGAACGAGACAGTTTGTTGTTCGTTTTTTTGTACTCCATGTCTTAATCTGGATGGTTCTGAACTTTGTACTTGGAACTGGCTGGTCCCTCGAGGGGCAGTCCTTCCAGGATTTAGGATTTAGGCCCCAAGTGGCAGAACATCAAGAATCCAGGAAGTAAGCATAGCTGGTCGCCCTGCAGGAAAAGGTGAGAGTGCTAGCAACCCTTCCGCAGCCAGACTCAGGCGTCTCCTCTCAACTGGTCGCTGGGCGCGTGCACATGAGCTGGTGCAGCTGCTATGGATGTCCAAAATGGCACCAGGTGGTTGGCGAAGAGAAACATGTCCCCCCTTTCCCTCCAGGTTGGCAGGTACTCTGTCCCCCACAGGGCTCTGCGCTGGACTCACGCCACAGCGGTATCACCAGTGGCTTGGGCTGCTGCAGTCTGGTCTCACCTGTCTCCAAAGCTGGTGCTGAGGCTCTCGGCTGCTGGGTCCTGAGTTGTGCACATGCGCACCCTCCATGTAGATCCCTCTAACTGGCGATTGGCGTGGGCTTTCCTCTGCAGCTTTCTCCCCAACTCTTCCCTGAGATTGTGCTCCCTACACTTTTTTTTTTAACTGTCTCCCCCTAGACTAGAGCAGTAAGCCCCATCCTGTTCTGCCATTTTGGATCCTGCGCTCTACCTGTATTATCTCTCTATCCAGATATATTTTGTGGATTGCTTTTCACTGACTGCTTCCTCTGTTTGTCGGCCCTTCGATGTTTTAACTGTGGATCAAGGATTTGTGTATCTGCTGTTACTGTTGGGTGGGTGAGGGGGAGGGAAGGGGAAGCCGAGAGCGAGCCCTGAGTAGCCTTGCTGACCGAACTTGTTTCTGCTCTTTTTCCCTAACTTTGTTTGTAGTCCAAAGCTTGAGTTTATTGGACCAGACTGGGTATCTGTCTCGTTCCCTCAGTACGAGAGGATTGTAAAGACAACCTGCCCCAGTGTTTGTTCCAGATTTTCTCAGTAGGAAAAAGGAAGATAATGACTGACCAAATGCAGGGAGCTTGTCCACGAGGCCACTTGACAGACGTGGGAGGGGCAGCTTCCTCCGGGGCTCCCCGCGTGTCTCCTGCCACTCACCCCACTTCTTTCCCGTAAATCCCTCCACATTGTTTGAGGTTATCAGCCCTGATAGCGCCATTGTTCTGCCTCCCCCGCCCCTCTTCCTTGGTAAGAAAGGCAGAATGGCAGCCTGTGCAGTTTCCCCTCGCGTCAGCATGTTGGCGGGTGGGACGGAGAGCATTCTTCTCCAGAGACGTTCTGCGTCTCCTCTGCACACGGCTGGCTCGCCCACTCCATCTGCTTCCTTTCCTGGTCTGTTACCGCTTTTGTCAGAAATCCCCACCCCCGGCTCCCATCTTCTTTCATCCCGATCCTTTGTGGGGAGGAAGAGTTATCAAGGGTGGAAGCTGTACAGTTTACTGCTGGTAATTTCTTTCTACAGCCACTATTTCAAAGACTCTTGCTGCCTTTTCCTGCAGATGAGTGTTGCTGGTGGGTTGTGTGTGTGTGTGTGTATGTTATTAATTGGGTTCAGTTCAGGAGAAAGGTGGGCTCTACCAATTCTGGGATGGCTCTTTAGGTAGCTATTTTAGCAAAAGCTAGGAGAACTAATCTTTTGTCTTGGATCAGTGTAGGGTACTTTTCTAGGCAAAAGCCCCTGGCATGACTTTCACTGGGTTATGAGACTTCATCTGTCTTAATCACATGTGTTCCCAGTAGCCCAGCTCTTCCCTGACTCTCTGCTGGGTGTGGTGAGGATACACAAAGGCCGAGCGAGGCCAGAGGCACACAAGCCTTACCATTTGTCCCATGGAGGCATCAGAGAGCAACACGGGCCACGAGAGGTGGCGGGAACCTGAGAGAACATCGTGTCCAGCCTTGCTCCAAAGCAGCACTGCTAACTGCCCCTCTAACAGATGGCCCTGCAGCCTTTGTTTGGATACCGTGAGCATCAGGGAACTCACGAGCATTATTCTGTCACTGGAAAGCTGAATGCGTTTAAGTGTTTTTCACCTTGAGCTGAACTAGGAGTGGATTTCCTCTCCTTTCCACATGGGCTTTCTTGGTGAGCCTCGTCTTCACATGCTTCCCAGCCTTTGCTCCATGTCTGTGGCTGCTACAACGAGGCCTATGGTCCTGATTTCTAGCCTGGCCCAGAAATGACTGAGCAGGTTGGAAAGCTGCTGGGCCAAACCCCAGGGGAACCAGTAAAACAAAGCGGCGCGTGCACACGGAAAGCACTCGCTGTCCAGGATGAGGATACTTGATTTGGCTCAAATAAAAGATAGCTGAGGTTTTCACTGAACTGTAAGTGTACTTGGGCCCGCGGTAAGGCACGGCGAGTCTGCTGTATGAATAACGAATGTCCGTGCCAGAGACACTTGCCAAGGCCATCCGATGCTGGAAGTTTGTTTAGGCCACATCTGGGTCTGTGGGATAGCAACAAACCACGACTTGTGCCGCTGTGGGATGGTGTCTAAGAGACCATGACAAACAGCTAGGGCCTGGAGAAGGTAGGCTTCAGAAAGGCAAAAGGACGGTCTTCAAACAGGAGAGAGACTTTGGGAAAGGAATACAGATACTCCTCAACTCAAGATTGTTAGGTCCTGATAAACTCATAGCTGAGTAAACAATGTCATCAACAGAATATGCATTTATTACACCTGTCCTACCAGACATCCTAGCTCAGCAGCACATTATGGTGTGAGGATCAGTTCATTCCCCCTGTGTTTGTAGAAGTAACGGGGGACAGTGGTCCACTGCCACTAGCCAGCATCAGGAGAGTATCATCACATATTGCAAGCCTGGGAAAATGTCAAAATTCAAAGTATGATTTCTACTGAATGTGTATTGCTTCCACGCCATTGTAAAGTTGAAAAATCTTAAACCCTTGTTAAGCCAGGGACCATCTGTACTTGGTTTTTTCTTTCTGCTGTCAGGGCACAGAATGGGCATGGCTTTGGGGAGTTACAAAAGGCTGTTTAGCAGCTCTGTCGACTAGAAGGCATCTCTGTTTCCAGGATCTGTAAAAAACCGGATGAACTTAGCTTCATCCTGGAAAATCCCTGGTTCTGTTCCTGTCTGTGGGAGTATGGGAGCAGATGCTGATTTCTAGGTAGGACACAGAAGATAGAATGTTTTAATTAATTTGAGGAAGAATACTTTCAGACCTCCTGAGAATCCTGCCAACGAGAAGGGTTTTCCCAAAGCCTGTAGCCAGAAGCCAGCACCTAACCCCAGACACGAGATCCTGCTGGATCCTGGCGGGAGCTGTGGGAAGAGCGCAGAATTCGGAGTAGGTAGACCTGCTTTGCAGCTTGGCTGTGCCATTTGCTAGGTCTGTCATCTCGAGCAGTTTACTTAATCTTGCTGGGCCTGCATTCCTCACCTGTAAAATGAGATGGCTAATTTCCAGCTCATTCATTATTGTGAGGCTTAAGTAGGATGACAGTTAAAAGGCCCCTGGCATGAAACTGGATGATTATAAATGTTAAATTTTGGGGCCGGTGCCATAGCGCAGTAGGTTAATCTTCCACCTGTGGTGCCAGCATCCCATATGGGCGCCGGTTCAAGACCCAGCTGCTCCTCTTCCAATCCAGCTCCCTGCTATAGCTTGGGAAAGCAGTGGAGGACGACCTGGGTGCTTGAGCCCCAGCACCTGCATGGGAGACTGGGAGGAAGCTCCTGGCTTTGGATGGGCAAACCTCTAGCTGTTGCAACCATTTGGGGAGTGAACCAACGGAGGGAAGACCTTTCTCTCTGTCTCTCCCTCTCACTGTCTGTAACTTTACCTCTCAAATAAAATATTTTTTGAAAAAGTTAAATTTCTTCCTGTCCCCTGAGGCTAGTTGCCAATAGTACTATTAATTTCCAACATACCTTTTATAAAAAGTCAATACTTTTTCCCCCCTCTAGGGCCCCCTTCCGAGCTCTCCCCAGCTAGTGAGGAGGAAGAGACAAAGAGTGGCCTGGATGTGATGCCCAATATTTCTGACGTGCTGCTGCGCAAACTGCGGGTCCACAAGTCTCTCCCTGGAAGGTAAAATCACAGTGTGGTGTGGAAGACCTTGTGCTGGGTGGCCCCCGTGTCAAATTCTAGGTAAGACACACAGGAGTACCAGTCTTGATTTTTGACCCTAGAAGGGTCCAAGTCCAGTGATCCATGCAGAGGTAACACATCTAAAACCAAAAGATTAGCAAAGGGCCAAGCCTGGTGCCTCCCACTCAAACAGCAGGTGGTCACAGCATGTGAGGCACGAGGGTCACCAGAGGCTCGTGGCAGCAGAGGGTGGTGGGCAGAAGTGGGTTTCAATCCCATTATACCTCTTACCTGCAAGTGGGAGACTCTACATCTCATAGCTGTATAGAGATGTGAGACATTCGGAACCACATGAAGGATTGCTTAGAAAACCCACCAGACTGCTTCGATTCCTGGGGAGAAAGTGTGTTTGCTTTCCGAGCCTTAGCTCCAGCATCTATACGAGAGGGGTCCTAGGTGCACTGTTATAAGAAGATGCAATGGTGGCAAGATGAGATCATCGTATAAGCAGGACTTGGGAGTGTGTTCACGTATAATAGGCCCTTGATAACTGGGTTGAGAAGTGAAAGATTTGGAGTATAAAGGAGAGAAGAGAGGGTTTGGGTGGGTGCCAGCAGGTGAGACCTCAGCCAGGCCCAGCAACCTGGAGACCTGTTGATGAGAGGAGTTATGAGAAGGAGCAACCTGGCAAAGCAGAGTTCCCAGGTCTTGGTGGTAGATTTTAAAAGAGAACAAGCTTACCCCAGTAACCATCTAAAATATAGAATCATCAGGGCAGTTCTCAGAGGGCGTGGCGACTAGATGCTAATTAACAGGAGATAAGTGCTAGAAATAAGTCCGAAGCAGGCTGAATCCACAGCTGGGGATGGTGCAGGGTGAGCCAGCTCACCTCACGGAAGGCAGAGAAGGGCATCAGAGGCGGGAAGTCAGGGCCGGGCACTCCCAGTGTGTGGTGCAGGTCACAGGGCATGTTTACATACTGTGTTTGTGACAACCCAGCGAGACAGAAAAGGAAGAGTTTCGCTGTGTTTGTCTTTAGCAAGGGAACAGAGGGGCAAAGGTACCTGCTAGCAAGTGACAAAGTAGAAACTGAACTCGGAGCGGGCTGGTTCCAGAGCACCTGCACCAGGGCTCTGTCACACACATCACCATCGTCAGGGCTCTTCAGTCTGCAAGGGGCAGCGTGGAGGACAGCTGGGTTCCTTGTCCTCAGTTAAGCTGAAAATAATAGTATGACTATCATATGCCCTCAAGCTTCCTCCAGAGCAGTGCCATGTTCCTTGAGTAAGTTAATAGTGACCAACTACCGACCTGTATGACTCTGCATGGTCAATGAATATACAACTTCTGAAGCACAGGTTACCAGCTCTCAGGCATTGCTTCAGCTACCAAATTGTCCTGTCCCCACTATCAGACCTGCCACCCACTCCTGGCCTCCTTAGAGGCAGTTTCCAACTTCGGCCGTTAGTTTGACCCAGAGATCTCTAACCCTAGTTTGGGGCTCGGACAACCAAAGGGATACACTTGTCACATGACACTTGCTGTCCAACTAAAGAAGCCAGAGCTTCAGTATCCCTGCCCCCAGCAGAAATATGGACGCTACCATTGAGTTTTTAATACGAAGAAGTTGGTTTCATGTCCTACATGGATTGGGATTTGGACCATAAGCAGATGATTATGAGGTCAGCAAGCTCAACAGGTTCAGGAGACAAAGAAATCCAGAACTCAAATCAGGGACTTGCCTAGTAATTAGTTAATCAGAGTACAAAGAGAACATATGACAGGATGAGGCATCCCAGGGTCAAACACCAACAGGAACAATTGGAGTGGAGAACACACACTGTCCGTTTTCTCATGCAGTTACATTCTGGTGGGGAGATAATAATACTTAAGTGGCTTGAAGAATGATTTGAGATAGTGCTGGGGGACCATGAACTAGAGCACGTATAGAGAACAACTCGAAAGTGGAAGGCTGGGGCAGTAATTAAGCTATGCAAATAACCAATGTCAAGAAGAAGCCATCCATGCAAAGATTCTGCTAAGATTTCTTTTTTGAAAGACTTACATTAGCAGGGAGCCAGATCAGAAGTGGAGCAGCCAGGACTCAAACCATTGCCCATATGGGATGCTGGTGCTGCAGGCAGAGGCTTAACCTTCAGTGCCACAGCGCCAGCCCCTGATTTTGCAGATTTTATCTAGACAAAAATAGCAATTTCAAGAAATGGTGCTGGGAAAACTGGATAGCCATATGTAAAAAGTGAAGCTGGACCCCCCCATTACACATAAAAATGAACTCAAAATCAATCATAAACCTAAATATAAGAGATAACACTATAAAACTCATAGAGCTTCCTACACAGAAGTAAATCTTTCTGACCTTGGGTTAGTACATGGATTTTTGGATCTGACACCAATGACAAAAGCAACAAAGATTTAAAAAAAACCCAGATGAATAGTACTTCATCAAAATTAAAAGAAAACGTTTGTACTGTAAATAATGGCATCAAGAAAGTAAAAGGCAACCCATAAAATGGGATGAAATCTTTGCGAATCACTTATCTGGGGTGAAAATTATTTGTAGACTATCTAAAAACTGCTAACTCAATAATAAAAACATGAATAAAAAGTTTTCCAAAATGGGAAAAGGATTTTTTAGGTATTTCTTCCAAGAAAATATGCAGGGGGCCCTCAGAAGATGCCCTTTCCTCCTGGAGGCCAGGGCTGTGCAGCTTAGTTCAGTGTGCAAGGCACAGCAGCCGGCTGGCACGTCGTGTGGCTTCTTAGCCTGCGTCACCACCCTGAGTCTTCACAGGTTTCTACATTTGAAAAAAAGGGTGGGTGTGCTGTATAGCAGAAGAGCAGAAAAACAAGTTTGGTGAATAACCAATGGAGAAATGGAGATGTCACACGCTGTCCAAACAAACCCAGGGGTCGGGGCGGGGGTGGGGGGGCTCAGCGGGTGGTGAGAAAGCACTGGAACAGCTGTGTGCGCTCTGTGTGACAGCTTCCACGGAGGCCCTCAGGAGAGGTGGGGCGGGGCCGGGACAAGAACTGTAAGCATGGACATCTTTGCGGCTGTTTATCCCGTGAGCTGTGCTCTGGAGGGTCACTGGGTCTTACTGCCTCAATCCGACAGGAAGCTCTCACAGTCCCTCGGCAGGGGTGAGGACCCGCCCTTGCAGGGGGGCTGACCCTGCCTCTGCTCTCAGGGTCCCTCCGCACCCGTCCAAGGGAGGAAGCCGTGTTTCCTGAGGTGCTCATTGCCAGCAAGCGCTGTTGCCAAGTCCTGTGATGCTGCTTGGGGGGGGCCCCCTCTCCCCAGGCCTCCTCCCTCCCCAGCACAGAAAAGGGCCCCTACATTATTTACATCGTCTAGGCTTCAGACGGGCCAGCTTTCGTGACTGCAAAGGCAGAGGCGCAGCCGTGCACAGATTGGGTGTGCACGCTCTCGGAAGGTTGCGGCTGTGGGAATGGCACATGACGAGGAACCTCTCAAACACGACTCTCTGTGGTCAGACGGTCCCGCCGTGGAGAAGGCCTCTGGCCACGCCGTCGCACCTTCTCTTCTCTGGCCCACCAGCACCTGCCACAGCCACTAGGGACAGGAGGGGTGTCTGGCCTTGCAGACATAGTAGCTCCCCAAAATCTTAAATGGCAACTCAGACGTGCAGAGTCTGTAAAGTACTCAGCACAAGCACTTTCCTCTTAATTCCTCACAGCAAACCTGTGAGTTTGTCAAAATGGAAGCCAATTGAATGTGCATATTTTATTCAACAGCCCCTCAGTATCCAAGGGGGATCGGCTCCTGGACCTCATCGCTGCACCACCCCCAGCCCCGCCAGTACCCAAATCCATAGGCGCTCAGGTTCCTTGTCCTAAGTGGTGTAGTATTTGCTTAGAAGCTACCCTCTTCTTCCTGTAAACCTTAAAGCATCTCTAGGTAACACCTAATACGACACAACTTTTATGTAGGTAATGCTTCCATGTTGTGTAAGGAACAATGAAAAGAAAAATGTTTACACATTCAGCAAAAATGTAATTTTTTTCTAAATATTTTTGACCTGTGGTTGGGTAAATGCACAAATACAGAACATGCATATACAGAGTGCTGACTCTATTTGTGTACACACACACACATATATGTATACACATGTATATGCATATATTTCTTGTAGCACTTTGCAGGGTGACACTATTCCTACTTTATAGATGAGCAAATTGGGGCCTAGAGAAATTAAATAACTGGTCCAAAGACCCGGAGATCACAGTGGCACTGCGGGAGGGCCGACCCGGAATCGGGTGTTTTCCACCCACCACCTGGCTGTTGGTGGAGCACACAGAGGTTCCTCTGCATCTTTCCCTTGTCATCAGCTCCTCCTACTCCATGCCTGGGAACATACGGTCTGCTGACTGGTCACAGTCACCTTGTGGTTTATATAACAGGTTGGATAAAGTTCATTTGCACATGTTCTTTTTTTCACAGCGCCCCTCCACTCACTGAAAAGGAAGTTGAGGTAAGTGACTTTGTGAACTTCAGTGCCTGTGCTTGATTGGGTTTATTCAAAACATTCCTCCCTCCGGCCTTGACATTCCCCTCCCCGCCCCAGAGAAAGTGAGAATGGGTGGCTGTGGGATAACACAGACATTTGTGACTAGCCTCACTGAGCTCTGAGCCCCACTCCCACTCCAGTTAATGGAACATTTTCACAAATTTGGCCAGAAGTAAAAAGCTAATTGGAAATCCTATGTCTTTCAAGGATTATGTTTTTTTTTTTTTTAAAAAAAGATTTATTTGAAAGAGTTACACAGAGGAGAGGCAGAGAGAGAGAGAGATCTTCCATCCACTGGTTCACACCCCAACTGGCTGCAACTGCCAGAGCTGTGCCAATCCGAAGAGCCAGGAGCTTCTTCAGGGTCTCCTATGTGGGTGCAAGGGCTCAAGAACTTGGAATTGGACCATCTTCCACTGCTTTCCCAGGCCATAGAGGAGAGCTGGACCAGAAGTGAGGCAGCTGGGACTTGAACCTGTGCCCATATGGAATGCCTGCACTGCAGGCGGCGGCTTTACCTGCTATGCCATAGTGCCTGTCTCAAGGATTTTGTTCTTTAAATACATGACATAGATTCACAAGGTCAGCTGGGAGACTACAGAATTATATCAAATTTATTTCAAAATTATTAAAAGATGGTCAGATCCTAAGTTTCAGACGTGGGTCTAAAGGTGGCTGCCTTCTGAGAGTTTCAGCTGCAACAAATGTAGTCAGAGCAGGTGTGTAGCGGGGCAGTTAAGACACTACCTGCATTCTACTTTGTAGTTCCTGGGTTCAAGTCCTGGCTTCTCCATGTCCAATTCTAGCTTCCTGCTAATGTGCACCCTGGGAGGCAGCAGGATGTGGTTCGAGCAGTTGAGTCCCCACTACCCACGTGGGAAACAAAGATTGAGTTCTTAGCTTCTGGCTTCAGCCTGGCCCACTCCTGGCTGTTGTGGCCATTTGGGGAGTGAACCAGTGGATAGAAGATTTCCCTTTCTCTCTGTCTGCCTTTTGAGAGAGAGAAAATACTAGCTGAGCAGGAGGCTGTGCTGTCAGCAATTCACCCATTACTCCCCACGGGCCCTCCATTTCCCAGAACAGGAGGTGAGTGAGCTGAGAGGCATTTGTGTCCCATTCTGGTAAAGGGAGAGATGGACAAAGGGACAGTGTCAGAGGTGAGACAGGGATGCAAACTAAATAAGCAGAGTGACAGACAACAGGACATTTCTACCTCAGAATAGTAACCTTGCACAAGGACATTGAATTTGCAGTTCAGAGAGCACTCAGAGCCAGCCTTTTTTTTTAAAAAAAAAGATTTACTTGAAAGAGTTACACACACAGGGGTCTTCCATCCACTGGTTCACTCCCCAGTTGGCCAAAACGGCCAGAGCTGTGCCAATCCAAAGCCAGGAACTTCTGGGTCTCCCATGTGGGCACAGGGGCCCAAGGACTTGGGCCATCCTCTACTGTTTTCCCAGCCCATAGCAGAGAGCTGGATCAGGAGAGAAGCAGCCAGGACTTGAACTGGCGCCCATATGGGATGCCGGCACCGCAGGAGGCGGCCACATAAAGCCAGCCTTTCCACTGAGCTTCTGAAAAGCAGGTGGGACAGGAATTCAAACAAAGGAGAAAACTGAGTGATTAAATAACATACCCAATGTCTCAGAACTAGTACTTAGCAAAAACAAGATTTGGACCCAAGTGTTCCAACTAAATCCAAGACTCTCTGTCCCACTGCTGTTAAGGGGGAAGCTCCAGTATGGAGAACCGCATTTTGAATATTCATGGGCTTGACTAAGGCCTGGGTGGGACAAAGAATCACCATTATGAGGCTGGGAGCTCAAAGCCTACCTGCTGACATTTGTGAGGATGAACCTTGTTTGACCGTCAGATCTCATCCTTTCATGTATACTGACACAGCCAGCACAGCAGACGAAAAATGGGCTTTGGAATCAGACAGTCCAAGGTTAAATCCTGACTCTGCTACTCCCTGTGTCACCTTGAACAGTTAGTGACTCTCTGGGTCTTGGTCTCTTTGCCTGTCCAATACACATAAGACTTCCAATCACAAAGGATTGTTGTGGGACTAAATTAGCCACACTTCATGAAACTCATCACAGTGCTGGCATACAGCAGGTGCTCAATATTGCTGTCGTCATTACTGGGGCAGCTGAAGTGCTTTGGTTCTATCTGGAAATGTCCGCCCTGCATGGGCCTGGTTACATAAACTTCAGGAGTTCAGGCTTCAGTCAGTGAGCCCAGGGTGTTAAATCTGCTACTACTTGACTCGGGGCAGATGAGGGCTGTAAAATTCAAGAGCGGAGCTTCCTTCCTGTGTGGAGTCCATCTGGCTCTTTCTCCTCCCTAGTTTCCTATTTTTCCAGGAAATCCAGGTCTGGTCAGTACTACCTTTAAAAATTCATTCATGCAGCCTGTACTTTGGGCATGGACTGTTTATTCCACAAAACCTATCCTACCACTCGTATCTGGATTTATCTCCTGGCTGCTACTTAAAACTGCTATTGATGTAGAATTTGAAATACTCATGCTAGATGCTGGCTGGAGTTTGCTTTAAGTCCACAGGCTTAAATTGCAAATGGTTTTTTTTTTAAATATAGTTGTTTTACACAAAATCCCCCCAAATCTCCCATTCGCTAAGCCCCAGCATAAATCCACACTGCTTACACAATCAGCTGCATTGGCCCAAGTTTGCCTAAATCCCAAAACAGGATGTTTTCCTGAAATTCAATAGAAAGCAGAGTTGCTGTTTTTTGGTAGAATGTATTTGGTCTTCTGGTCCTGGGAGGGACGTAGGCAGGCCTTAGGTTCTCTTTCACCATTTTTGTGTGATTTACTGTCAAGTGCAAGTCTCACTTGCACTTGGCTGCTTTGGCCACTGGTTCCTGGGGCTGTTGTGTAAGGCACACACATGAGATGCACCTGTAGCCTCGTGCCCTACAGTAACTCCTCCTAGCACCTCTCCCACACTCTTGTTCCCAACAGAACGTGTTTGTACAACTGTCCTTGGCCTTTAGAAATGACAGCTACACCCTGGAAGCCAGAATTAACCAGGCTGAAAGGGAACGCAACCTGACAGAGGAGAACACTGAGAAGGAACTGGAAAACTTCAAAGCTTCCATTACGGTAAGTGTGGAGCCTGATTTTGAGGACCCCTTGGAGGAGGGGCTGGTAGAAAGGCTGTACCAGGTGTCATGCTTCTTTCAGTCACCGAAGAGTCTCCTAAAATTTGGAAGTGGGCCAAGACCCCGAGCTGGACAGAGTTCTCTTTGGATTGCTCAGAGGGGTCAAGGCAGAGATCCTGCAGGCCTGGTTACCCCGAGGCTATGGGCAAGGCAGCCTGGAAGTGACTCCTTCAGGCCAGCCAGGTATACAGCATCCAGGGGGGCTTCTCCAAGCCCCAGCAAGGCTGTGGCCCAGGCCCTGCAGAGGGCTCTCCTCTCAGCCAGGATGTGAGGCCTAGTTCTGGCCTTGCCAGAACCAAGTCCAAGCTCAGCGTGTGTCTTAGTTCAGGGGACAAACTGTTGTAGATGGGATGCTTTTAAAAACAGCCCTTTTTCTCTCTCAGTTCTGGAGGCTGGAAGTCCAGCATCAGAATGCCAGGATGGTCAGGGCCTCATAAAGGCCGTCTTTGGGGTTTCCAACAGGCAGCTTCTTTTTATACTCTGATGTAGCAGAGAGCGAGCTCTCTGGGGTCCCTGTCCTGCTCACAGGGGGCTTCACCCTCATGACCTGCTCACTTGGCAAAGGCCTCACCTCCCAAGGCCAGCACATTGCACAGTTAGCATTTCAGCATATGCACTGGGGCAGGGGCGGGGACCCATACCTCAATCCTTAGCCTGACGTGAGGACCCCAGGTGACACTGCTTCTCTCTCTCTCAGTCTTCGGCGTCGCTGTGGCACCACTGTGAGCACCGGGAGACCTACCAGAAGCTGCTGGAAGACATCGCCGTCCTGCACCGCCTGGCTGCCCGCCTCTCCAGCCGGGCTGAGGCGGTGGGGGCCGTCCGCCAGGTGAGCCTCGCCAACTGGCCCCACTCCGCCTCCAGGAGCGAGCGTGGTGACTTCCTCTGGGCCAGGCTCCCGGCCTGGGGTATGTGTTCAGAGTGCTTTTGGTGAACCACGGACCTGTCAAGGTGTTTCCCAAGGAAAGGAGTTTGGGAAATACTGGGTACAGCTTCCTTCCTTGGAGATTTCTAATCTGTACTGGATTGGAGAAGTCCTGTGGTGAAGACGCCTCTTCAACTTTACTCACATCTGAGCGGTGCTCCAAAAGCCTATGGAAAGCGTGTTCACTCTGTGGGAACACTCTGCATGGATTTCAAAATGTCTTACATCAAAATTCATTTTTAATTCCATTTTCCATGAACTTTTTAAAGTCCCCTATTTCCCAAGTGTTTGAAGAAGTGTCCCCTTTGTTTTCACAGAATACCTATCCAACTCAGGTGGAGCTAGTTTTGGCAAAATATGCTTTAGGGAAAACTGCTGTGTCACTGCATGCTCCCAGCAACTCTCTAACCAGCCGTTTCCCCCAGAGGAAGCTAGCGTGAGTCTCAGGCAGGTAACAGCGTGAGTCACGCCCAGATTCCAATCCTGCAGCACACAGAGCTCCGCTCGGGCCCACCCCACATGGGCTGTGTGACCTTGGGCTGGGTCCTGAGCTCTGCACACTTCAGCTTTGTGTGCTACGAGGAGGATGACAGGATGACAAAGCTGTCTGCTCTGTGGCTGCTGTGACACCTGCGAAGCGCTGGCTGGTTGCTGATGCTATGCTGTGGGCCGTGTCCTGGACTTGGGAGGACAAGCCACAGGGCTGTCCCACCCTGGTGTCCCTCTGCGAGAAAGGCAGCTGACTCAGCAGCGTGGACCAGCTGGGAGCAGCACCCAGGGAGGACTCTGGGGAAGGGAAGTTCCTGGATGGGTCCCCACTGTGACCAGGCAGCGCGTCATCGCCCTCAGCGTGTGCAGCCGCTCAGATGTGCTCCTCGCGTCATCCCCACAGCTCCCCAGCTCTGGCTGCTGGGTCCCAGCCCCTGCTTCCTCTCTGCCCCACCTGGACAGTCGGGCCGCCTCCGGTCCTTCCCTGTTGCTCTTATTGCCGCCAGTCTCACTTCCTCAGTCCCATCTCCTCTCGTGTCCTAACCAAGCCATTCCCTTCCTTTCGGACATTGAGTGACTTCCCCTTTCCTTCGGAACAAGTGTAGATGCTCTTGTCTGACAGCCAAGGTCCTTCACAAACCAGTCCGAACTCACCTTTTCTTCCTACAACTAAACCAACTGCCTGCCGATTCCTAGGCCAGTCAAATGGCCTGCAGCCTCGGTCTATGCCTTTGTCCCTGCGCTGTCTGTAATAACACCCCTTCAGTCTCCAGAGGATAAATCCTCACCTCCATACAAACCCTCTGACTTTCTGCCCTCTGGACTCCCCCTGAGTTCCCTGGCCTGAAGACTTTCTCCTTCCCGCCGACGTCCACATGCCCAGATGTTGCCTACACCCCGTGTCCGCTTTATTCCGTCCCAGAGCCTCCCCTGACCCTCTGCGCAAGCAGCAGCGGCTCCCTTCCTCCTCTCACCACCTCCAGGGCACAGCTGCATTTCTGCATCCTCCCTGGGTCCCCTCTCACCCCCAGACTCACGCTTTCCTTCCCGTCTCTTACAGGAGAAGCGCATGTCAAAAGCAACAGAAGTAATGATGCAGTATGTGGAGAATCTGAAGAGGACATATGAGAAGGACCATGCAGAGCTCATGGAGTTTAAAAAACTTGCAAATCAGAATTCAAGCCGCAGCTGTGGCCCCTCTGGTAAGGACCCGGCTGCCTGCTTCCATCTTGGGCCTGCAATGTGGACCCCAGTGGCTGTTAGCCAGAGGCAGAGTGATCAGGGCAGCCCTAGAACCTGTTTCCAGTTGAGCAAAGCTCTCTGGCCCAGGTCAGTGATGCCTAGAGGCCTCACAGCAGCTGCTCCAGCGACCCCACGGGGCCCAAGACAAGGAAATGGAAATGGCCCCAAATGACTGTCTGACTCTCAGTGTAGCTGATCGTAGCAGCTGACCATGGACACAGAAACCCCGGCTGCCAAGAGCTTCCTCCACTTTGTGAGAGTGACCCCAAACCCTATGTCTTTATGTTTTGGGACCCCCATTTTAGGAAGTACATGCTAAGGAATTTGGGCTTTATTATGGAAACCAGAGATCCGAATCAGGGAGATGACCTGATCATTTATGTAGTCTGAAAAGGTTCCCTCTGAGATGTGGTGATTACATTACTGGGACAAGCAGAGACAGGGAATCCCATGAAGATGCTACTGCAAACAGCCTGGGGACAGATGAAGGGTAGGGAGCAGGGACCAGGCTAAAATGCACCATTACTGAACTAAATAGCAGTGCATTTAAAGAACCACTCTTTTTAAAGTTTTATACAAATTGCTATAGGAGCACAGAACATGGGCCTTGATTCTGCTGGAGGGCATCAAGAAAGCCTTCACAGAAGGATGGCATCGGTCAGTGTTTAAAGTAAAAATAGGAGTTCTCCAGGCAAGAGGAAGAAATATGGCCCAGGTGGAAAAAAGCACTGGCAGAGTGGGGACTGGGAGAAAGAAGATGAAACGGTGTGATGGAGTTGTGGAGTGTGTGTGTGTGAGAGTGTGAAGGCTGGGGCTGCATGTCAGCCTCTGTCCTCCAGGCAGTGGGGTGTACTGGTGGGCATAACCCACATGGCATGGCCAGATTTTATTATTAGGAGATGACTCTGACTTCACAGCGGACCGTGCATTTATGTTTTGACGTGTGAACATTAAAGTAATGAGAGACATGTTGGGGGGAGGGTGGTGCCTTGAGCTCTGCGGGGCTTTGGGCTCCAGCTGATGAGGGATAAGCAGGAGCAAACAGACCTTTCAGCAACAGGAATCCCTGTGGAATGCAAACATCCGTGTTAGCAAGAGCAGGAGGAGGGGAAGTGCAGAAAGTATAACAGATGGAGAAGCCTCTATAAACAGGAGGTTAGCAAGTTTCCTGGGGAATATCAGTGACGCTGCCCAGAGTCCGAAGGCAGTGTCCACAGGCTTCAGACTGTCTGCTTTGGATCTCGGCAGCACAGCTCCTGCCCCACGTGCCTCTGGGCTGCTAACAGCTCAGTTAGTGTTGGAAGCTGAGGAAGCTGCTTGCTGCCAAAGAAATCCAAGTGCAGGTTCTAGAATTCTTGCCTTGCAAGGTTCAAGGTCTCCTGCAAACCACCATACCCAAGCTTTATGGGTTGAACAGCTACCCATGAGTCTCATTCATTCATGCTACATACACTCATTGAGCAACTTCAATGTATCCCGCATGCTTCTGGAATGTGGAAGTTAAGGACACACATGCCCAGACCCAAGGAAGCTCCCAACATGTGGTAGGGCAGGGCAGGCAGCCAGGCAGGTGTGTCTGGAAGCTGAGCTGTGACCAGTCCCTGAGACCGCTGATTGCGATCTTCACAGAGCCTCTGGCAGTCTCTGTGGCTGGGACTCTGAAGACTACAGGGAAATAAAATAGCTGTTTAGAAAAGTGTTAATACAGTTTTAAAAATATAACATGAATTACTTTTCTTTGAATATCCAACATGTTGATTGTTTGCAATTTGGATTATTTCCTCAAGCTACAAGGGTACTTCAAAAAGTTCATGGAAAATGGAATTAAAAGATAAGTTTATTTTGGTGCAAAAAAATCTTGAAATCCATGCATAGTTTTTTCATGTAAGCATTTTCTGTGAAACTTTGAGCTCACAGAGACCCCTTACAGAATTCCAGAAGTGTAAACACTAGTTCAAGGGAAAGAAATATGAGAGTCTTAAAGGAAACATTTTCAAGTAACCCTTTGATAGTTTCATCTAGTAAGTTACAATGCATGTGACATTGACAATTCTTGTTCTTTTAAAAATATTTTTAAGACTTTGATAAGCCAAAATTGTGCATTTTTCAAATTTTGACTTGTAAAACTAATTGTTAGACTTTCCAAATATTTACTAAGCATTTGCATTTCTACTTTTATAAATTCCCTAACTAAGATGTTTGCCCATTTGTAAGATTGGTATTTTATTATTTATTTGAACTCTTCACATATAAAGAACATTTTCTAGTTCTGCTATTGTGGCTGACTGGGAAACTTAAAAATCTATTGACCACACGAAGAAATTTCTGCTGGACAAAATAAGGCAAACTTTAAAAGAACAGCTGAATCCACAAGAAAAGGAACAATGGAACCACGCTTGCCCTGCGGCTTCCTTGGGGACTGTGTTAGCCTCCGGGGCGTGGGGCTGAGTGCTGCACTCACACGTGATCTGAGATGAGGCTTGGACATCCACAGTGAACGGACACTGAGCTTCCCATAGAGAGGTCGGATCTTCCAAGCACTGTCTGTTTATATAGAATTTAGATTAGGGAAAAAACAATCATCAACCAGCAGAAAACCAGCAAAGTTTTTCTGTTTGACCCTGTGCTCCAGCAGGAAGACACTTTCTCCTTCCTCCAAGGAAAAGTGCATGCCCAGAGTAACAGCCATGATGATGTAGTTTTTTTTTGGGGGGGGGGGTGTAAAGAGCAGCAAGACGGTACCCCCAAGAACACTGTCAGCCACTGTACAAGGATCTACTCTGCACCAGAACACACAGGATTCCACTACATAAAGCCTCAATGGAGAGGAGTTCACATGAAAACATCCACCAAGAACAACAGGAGAATATCCTAAGAACCTCATATAATAAAGATACTCTGATTTTTTTTAAAAAGATGTTTAAAATTATTAGAGGACTAAAGAATGGGCCAAAAACATGAGGGAAAAGAATTGTCAATAAAGAATAAAATAGAACTTCTCAAAATTAGGAATAAAGTCATAGAAATTAGAAATTTGGGGCCAGCATTGGGGCATAGCAGGTAAAGCCACTGGCATCCCATATGGGCACTGCTTCAAGTCCCAGCAGCTCCACTTCCAATCCAGCTCCCTGCTGATGGCTTGGGAAAGCAGAGGCAGATAGCCTGAGTGTTTGGGCCCCTGCCACCCACGTGAGAGACTCAGATGATGGCTTGGCTCAATTCTGGCCATTGCAGCCATCTGAGGAATGAACCAGTAGATGGAAGTTTCTCCTCCTTCCTCTCCCCTTCTTTCCACCCCTCCCTCTTCTCTCTCTGTGCTCCCTGCCCCCAGCTCTTTCAAAGTAAAATTTAAAAACAGACACTCAGTTTGGGTGTGGTGGTTGCTAAAGTTGAGCCAGTCCTCAATTTTGCAGATCTCTTCCTGTTGGGCACACTTCCCCATCCCCTTCAAGTTAGGCAAGGCCATGAGACTAGCTTTGGTGAATGAAACACGGGCAGGAAGCCATGTGTTAGGGAGCTGAGGGCCGTAGGACATGCTAGCGACTGACCCTGGGTTTCTCTCTCCTTACATAATGGCCTGACTCCTGGGTAAGGAAGCCAACAGCAGAGCCTGTGGCCAACTCAGAAATGAATGCTGAGGCCCGGTGTCGTGGCTGAGCGGGTTAACCTGACACAACACCTGCATCCTATATCAGAGTGCAGGTTTGAGTTCTGACAGCTCCACTTCCAATCCACCTCCCTGTTAGTGCACCTGGGAAAGCAGTGGAAAACGGCACAAGTACCTGGGCCCTTGTCACCTAAATAGGTGATTGGGATGGAGTTCTGGGCTCCTGGCTTGGGCCTAGATTAGCTCCAGCTATAGTGGCTGTTTGAGGAGTGAACCAATAGAAGAATGCTCCCTCCACTCCCCTCCCCCCCAAAACTGTGTCTCTTAAATAAACAGATAAAAATAAGTAAATGGACATGCAGCATAGGTGAAAAACCAAACTTTGCAGTTGTAAACCACTATAGGATTATTTACCATTGTAGTATAACCTAGTTTATCCTGGTTGATAAAACAGATTGTGCAGAGTTGAAGAAAAAAATAATCAGGAAGATAAATTTACCCAAAATGCATTTCACAGTGTAAATTGATTAAAAATATGAAAAATACATTATGAGATATGGGATAGAGTACAGATGTGGGAGTGCTAAATATATTTATTAGGTGTTCACAGGGGAGAACTAGATAGAGAAGATACTCAGTGCTGAGAACTTCCCAGAAGAGAGATCTGCATTTTTGGATTTGGAAAGCCTAACAGATCTCATGTAGGAGAAAGATATATCAAAAAAGAAAACGTGGAATAACAAAGTCCAGATCTTAAAAGTAACCAAGGATAAGATTATTCACAAAGCACTTACAGTACCAGAAGACAACGGGGTGAGCTCTTCAAAGAACTGAGAGAAAGTAACTGTCAACCTATGGATAATACACCCATTTAAACTCACATACACAACTGGAGGCGAGGTGAAGACATTTTGAGACAGCAACTAGGAGAATGCGCTTCTCAGATACCTTACAGAAAGAACAACTGAAGAATGTATTTAGGGAAAAATGAAATTGAGTTCAAAAGAGAGGACTAGGATACAAGGAGGAATGGTGAGCAAAAACATTTGTAAATGTCTCAGTAAATAGGCATTCTTTGTAGAAAACAATCACGAATAAGTAGGGAGTATAAAAACAAGGTAAAATACAAATGATGAAAAACAGTATAATTAAGGTTGAAGGGGGTTATTATTAGTTAAGGGGACACACCAAAGAGTATAACTAGAAGTTATAATTTCTAGACTGGTATGAGGAGTGGAGGAGGGATTAGTGGGGAAAAGATCAATGAATAAATCACGGTAAGTAGAAAGTATAAAAAATAAGATGTTAGAAATAATACATCAATAATCACAAGACCTCAGATTAGGTTAGGAAAAATAATTATGTGCTTTTCAAGAGACTCCCCTAAGATACATGGACATGACATATTCGTGGTGGGGGGGTGGGTACGGGCTGGATGGCAACAGTCCAGCTGAGTCACACTGAATTGAGCTTGCAAATGTTCTCTGCACAAATTCAGATGCTTCCGGGTATCAGTATTGCCCAGGTGTGGTGCTAAAAGGTTTATATTAACCATATCACTTAATGTATGACAAAAGAAGAAAATCCTGGGAGGGTGACTTGCTTTGTTCTGAATCACTGTGTAGGTGGTTACTGAAACTCCTCAGTCAGCAAGTGTTCATTCTTTATCAACACTGCCCCTTCCTTGCTCATAGTTTCCCTAGTTGTACTCCCATGGAATGAGCAGTGACCCAAAAAGCCTCAGTGTTGCTATGTGTAGTTTTTGCACGCTGTCCAGGGCACTCTCCAGATAGCAAGTAGTGGAGTCAGACGAAGATGAGAGGTGAAAGACTCGGGCTTAGCATAGTGTCCAGTAGAGTTAGGACAACGGTTTTGTCCAAAAAATCTTGCACTCTGCAGGTGATCATTTCAGAGGGTGAAATTTAGCATCCTCAATGCCCAGACCCTTGGACCACCTGCTGAGAGCCACTTCTGGCCCATGGGTACCAATACTGTTTCTGTCTGCTGGTTTCTTGTTTGTAGCCTAGTCGGAAACTTACCTGAATTCTCTTCTTTGTTCCCTCCTGCTGCAGAAGACGGGGTCCCTCGCACTGCACGATCCATGTCCCTCACGATGGGAAAGGTATGCATGTTCAAGGAATACCAAGGTCCAAGGACAAGCACAAAGATTCCATGGTCACCCAAGCAGTCTTCCTCAGATCCATGGAGTCAGAGCACCTCTGAACAGTCTCCAATGAGCTCCCACACCTGCCAACTTAGCCTATAAAACCTCATCTTTCTTCCTTGTATGTAGTCTGCCTGGTTTTAAGTCCCTTAACTGAACATGAAGTGATGCATAAGCCTTGGTGTTGCTGCAGGTGGTTTTTATACAGATCCAGGTGTCATTCAGAGGCTGGAAGCCATTCCATTCTGTATCTCCAGGGTCCTATGAGCTAAAGTAAGAACATATTGAGAGATCACTCATCATCAATAGAAAATCTGAGTTCACTTTGACCCCTCTCTCCACACCAATTCCTAGCATCATTGCTACCTCAAAACCAAAATATCCAGGGAGTGTCATTACAGAATTAGGTACTAGTAGGCTTTTTCCAGGCCCTTCTCAACCAGGGCTATTGACGCCTCCCAGACATTGAACCCATTCACTTCTCTGCCCACAGAATATGCCCCGGCGGAGGGTCAGCGTTGCTGTGGTTCCCAAGTTCAATGCCCTGAACCTTCCTGGCCAGTCTCCAAGCTCATCGCCCATCCCCTCCTTACCTGTTTTGGTAAGTATGGTGATGCCCGCCTTCCAGCCCTATTCTTTCTTTCACTCGTGCTTACCACTGTGGAGGTTACCCAGATCATGACAGGATCATCAAGGACAGGAAATTTCCAGCACATCATCTGAGCAATGGGTTAACAAAGCTCGATGTGGACTGGGCCACGTGTGTTCTACTGCTCTGAGAAGAGGCCTTGGTGTCCTTGGGCAAGGTGTTGGCAGCTCAGGGAGTGTTCCTCACAATAATAGTCCTTTTCATGCTTCAGCCACAATTCTCCAAGGTGGGGGTACTTTCTTTCCTCTCTGCAGTAGGTCTAAGTAGCTGCAGGTTGGAATGTGTAGTAGCTAAGTTTTAAACACTAGACTTTCTGAACTCAGAGCCCATGTTATTCTGCCTCAATTCACTGCAGGGTTATTTACAACAATGAACACTGGGGGAAAAAAACCCAGTATTCCAATAATAAGAGATCAATCAAAGATTATGGCTATCACTATAAGTATTTATAAGGACATAATTATTGCCCATGATTTTGTATGAATACAAAATAAGATACATATAAAATTAGCATAATTTAATTCTGTTTTGTACTTTTAAAAGTATGTTTTTATGTGTAGACAAAATTCTGGAAAAAATATGTGAAACTATTATTACCTCTGGGCAATGGTGAAACAGGTAATTTTTATTTTCTTCTTGATGCCTTATATTTCTACAATAAGAATATATTAATAGAAAAAATTACCTATTTCATATTTTTAAATAAAGACAGTTCCTATAATACAACAAAAATATTTTGACATCCCAGGTCTTTGTCTATCTGATTACTTCTACCTAAAACTTTTCTAATTCTTTCTCCAGTGGCTTCTCTAATCTGTCTGATTAGCACTAATCAGTAAAGAAATAATCTGATGGTGTAAGCAATTAATAACACAGATTCAAGCTCTGTTGTTGTATCTCCAGTTTTTTTTTTCCAGCTTTTCCTACTTCAGGCATTCCAGTCATCTATGATCACCTTGAACTCCCAAAACACTAACACAAAGCAACCTGAAAAAAAATGTTAATATGCATGAGGAGGGCTCTGTGGTGTGTGTTAGCAGACCTGTTTCCCATATTTTGCTAAAATGTATAAATGTGGCTTCCAAATACACTAGAGCACTTGAAAAACCTCAAAATTGTAAGTTATGAAAAATGCATAGATTTCAATTTCTCTGCACTAAACATTTTTTAATTCCATTTTCCATAAACTTTTTGAAGTACCCTCATATGGTGCTTTAGACGGGTGGTTGACACCCAAAACTAAACACTAAATTTATGCAGGACATTTCTGAAAACATACTATCCCCAGGTCTTACCTCAAGATCTCAAGTGGATCAAAGTTTTTTAAAAATCTCTCCTAAATGATTCTAATGTGTAGCCTGAGTTGAGAACCACTGCTTACACTAGGTCCATCTCATCAACATGACATGGAAATCCTGGGAAATTTACTATACAGAGGTTTCCCATGGCTTGAGCATCTAATAATGAACAGACATCTCCTGAGACTTCAGCCTGGGGCTTTGCCTGTAGGAGCACTGATGGACTTTTGTGGATATCTCCCAGGAAACTCAGGAATACATTTGGTAGGAGGTCTCTGGTGTTCTCTCACAGTCAGTAAACAGGGGACAGACAAAAAAATGATGGGTTCCCACTGGAATGGAGTCTCAATAGGTGAACTCTTCTCTTGGCTCAAGAAGACTTGAAGAGAAGGGGGGGTGGGTGATGCAGCAGGTAAAGCTGCTGCCTGCAACATCGGGTCACATATGGGCGCCGGTTTGTGTCTTTGCTCCACTTCCGATCAAGCTTCCTGCTAATGGCCTGGGAAAAACAGCGGACAATGGCCCAAGTGCTTGGGTCCCTGCACACCCAAGTGGAAGAGCTGGATGATGCTCCTGGTTCCTGGCTTTGGCCTGGCTCAACCCTGGCCACTACAGCACTTGGGGAATAAACCAGTAGATGGAAGACTGACTCTCTCTCTCTCTTTCTCTCTCTCTCTTTTCTCTGACTGACTTTCAAATAATTTTTTCAAAAGGAAAGGAACAAGTTGCAGGTGTTGCAGAGAGAAGGGTACCGAGGAAAGGAGCCCAGGGAAGTCCCAGGGACAAGGCTATCTAAGGCTGGGCTCTGGTGCATGTTGGGAAGTGGGGGGAGCGGAGGGAGGGAAAGAGAAGGGGCTGCAGCTACCCTTGCCCAGCATCATCAGAGGACTAGAAGTTCTGGTTTCTTCATTCCACTTCTCATCCTCACTTCTGTCTCCTGTTTCCCATCCAGTCGGAATCACCCAATGGGAAAAGCAACCTGCCTGCCGCCTCCTTACTGCCTGCACTTTTGGAAAAGTAAGTTTGTTGATTGTACTCTAATCTTTGGGATCCCAGCAGAAAATATCCTCAACTCATTTTTTTTTCCTCACACCATCATCCCCAAAATGGGATGCAAAGAAAATTAAGTAATAGAGTAATGAATGGAACTCTGAGACCCACAACTATTTCAGACTCAGTTGGCAAAGTTCTTGGACTAGGAGGATGCCACAGGTGAGGGTAAGCAGAGCCTGGAGGAGATAGAAGCTTCCTCTGGAGATTGGGATTCTCTGGGCTGCAAATACAACAGAGCCCCAACTCACTGGGGTATAAATATGAAGGCCACACATAGGGCAGCTCCCAGTGTGGCAGAGCAGGACTCCAGCTCTGCGCTCAACCACTTCCTCACCTTGGTCTACTTCGTACATTGACTTTGTGCTCATGGCAAATGGCTGCTTGTTCCAGGTATTCCAACCAGGACAGTATTGACAGAAAGAATCCCCACTTCTCTTTCTTCGGAATGAACTCAGAAGCCTCTCACCATCTTCCCTTTTGTCTCATTGGAAATTTTGGGACAAATGTTGGGAATAAAGTTTTGGAATGGGGTTGGTGTTAAAGACATAAACTATCCCCTGGAGTTAAGAAAATGAGCTTCTTATGAAGCAAAATAATGCCTTTGAAAAATAGTAAATTCCTGAACAAAATCACGTTACTGCTAGGAAGCAGGAAAGAGGACGAGTGCTGGATGGCAACCAACAGTGTCTGCGACGCCTAACTTTCCTGGGTATCCATGCAATTTGCAGGTCTTTTTATCCTCAGCCAAAGCAAGGCAGGCTGTTTCTGTGTACTCACAGGCGTTCCTAACTTTCCAAATTCTTCCATCTGCTTGCTGGAAAACATCTGGATCTCAGCTGCTACCTCTCAGAACCTTTCCCTGGTGTCTTTGCTCACTTGGTAGAACACAAACCTGACTTGTCCTTCTTCCCAGCCCTGAGACACCTTTAGTCCCCATTTCTACTTGTTGTTGGGAAGGTTTTGCTTGACCCAGCAGGGAATGTGTATGTTGGGCCCCTTTTGGTGCAGACAAGCTCCCCAGCTCCCCACCCCCAGACTCAACCCGTTTTCCTCACCTCTCAATATGTCTGTCCAACTGCCAGCTTATTGCTCCGTGACTACTCCCAGGTTGCTCTACAGATTTGCTCTGTATTTTCTTCCATGAGTTTACAGGTCCTTCATGTTATGGAACTCTCTCTAGCTTGCCTCCCCCTTCCTCCCCTACATCCTGAGAAATCGTAAAGGGATGACAGATTGACAGCCATGTGGAAGTCACTGAGTTAGAATCTCAGCAAGCCCCAGAGGCATAGTGCCTAGTCCACAGTCTCTGGATCCCTACAGAAAGGGTCACCTGTTGCTCTGGGATGCTCAGAACATCCCCCTGCCAACCCTCCCCTTGCACACACCAATCCCTACTCCAGAGGACTCCCATCAAGTCCTCAGTCCTGACTCTGGTCCTGGAGATCCAGTCATGGCAAATTTAGATCTCCAGTCTCCCAACAGACTCTAATCATGGTAGAGCAGGTCCAGGACTTGGTAGAACTGATGCTCAAGCCAGCTTCAGTCCAAAGCAGTGGGGATGATTGAGAACATGAGCTATCTTTGGTAGGAGAATCAGACTCAAAAGGAATGTGAACTAGTGAGGGTCAATGGTGGTGCCACCTTCCCAAGGGTTTAGAGCCAGGAGAGAGAAGGATAAGGTGAGGATGAAGGCAAGTCAAGCAAGAGACTCCCAGGAAGGTGTCAACAGGTCACTCTTGGGAATAACTAGAGAAAAGTAGCAGGAGCCATGCTGTGGGCTGGTTTGCCTGCTGAGAATGTACTCGTACAAGGATTGTTGCAGAGGGGAGAGGGAATATTCAAAGGAGGAGATATTATGACTAACCAGCTTCCCCCGGGTTATCTAAAAGCTGCTAAGGGATCTCCACCTGAACTCATGAAACTGGAAATATGTAAGAGCGTCCCAAGAGGCTAACAGTGAGCTCACTTGTGAATGAAAATGGATGCCTATCTTCTGATATAAAAATACAATCAATTCTAGCCACCCTACCCAAATTGTTAGAGACAAATAATGTTGTGATTTAAATTGCTTTCCAGCTTGTTTATTTAGCTTCATGCTAAAATGATTTCATATTTTCCAAGCAAGAAGGGAATTGGCTAAGCACATGAAAAGAAGATTAAATAGTCTATGGCTCATTCACAACCAAATACTGGTGAGATGATGGCGCTACCCAATGCAATCAGAGAATTCTGAGACTTACTCTTGTAGGTCCTTTCACAATAACACGCTCTTTATTCCACAAGCATCTAGCAACCTGTAGAACCAAAGAAACGTGTCGGTACAGGGGTCATATTTAAAGCCAGCCTTAGTTCACAGCCATGAGCAGAGATTCCTTTAGCACAGTCCAACAGAATTCTCAGCAAATAGCCATTTACAAAGAAGACTTTCCTATTTTACAAAACTCGCAGGCAGGGACTGGGTATGTCATAATGAAGTCAGTACAACTTAGTGGACACTTAAAGGCACCAAGCATCATTCCAATTCAAATGCAATCTTTGCTCCTGTGATCACAGTCATATGGAGGGTAAGGCGGGTATATAAAACATAACAATGTCCTCTGAGTCATGCTGTAACAGATAGTGGGGGCCCAGAGAGAGGGACAAAGTAACTTTAACCCAAGGGTGTGGGGGAGAGGAGCAGAGCTTTCTCAGGGAGAAGGCATTCAAGCTGAATCTTAGAGATGCATAAGGAGAAACTCCCAAAAGGATGATATATTCAGGGAACTTTAAGCTCAAGCCAGAGGCAGGAGACAACAACAGACATTGTACATGCTGTGTTTTCTCCCTGGCTCTCAAAGGCCCTCCCAGTCATCTCCCACTCTAGACAAGCAGTCTGTAAAATAAGGGCAGCATCCTAAGCCAAGGTCCAGCCTGCAGGTGGAAACAGGTTCACCCTTCACTGGGTAGGGACCGTGGAAGTCCCTCATACCACCTAGAACTCCAGGAAGAGACTTCTTTTGGACGGGAAGGCTCAAAGGGACTTGGGTTGCATATCCTGACACAAGGTTAGCTCCTGCACCAATAATGTGAACTCAAGAAAGTCCCTTAATCAACCTGAATGTGGGTTTCTTATCTGTCATTTGGGATAATGCCCAGCATGGGTGGCAGACAGTGTGGGCAAACACATGGGCAAGTGGCAGACTGGATACGGTCGAAGATGCTGTTCAACACACTGGTTGTGTGATCTCTGGTTGGTTACGTAACATCTCTGAGCCTTGGTTACCTCACCTGTGAAACTGAGAACAATCATATCTCACTGGGTCATCCCTGAGGCTCAGGTGAGATCCTGGAGCCTCAGGCAGAGATTAAATGTTAGCTCTTCTTATCATTGGGGAGATCAAATGAGAGAAAGTATTTGAGAGCCCCACAGGGGAGTTGAAATAGGCAGCAGATCCATGTGAAATGGGCTTCCTGGCTCTACCAGCAGAAGTTTTGTTTATGGACACTCGATTAGTAAAACTCTGAGGTGAGGGGTCAGCACAGTGGTGCAGCAGGTTAAGCCAACACCTGTAATGCTGGCATCCCATAATCGGAGTGCCCGTTTGAATCCCACCTGCTCAGCTTCCAATCTAGCTCCCTGCTAATGCACAAAACACTAAGGTGCATGGAGATGTTATGGCACACAATAGACATGCACCTAAGAAACTTATTACAGAAAACAGCTTTAAGTTTAATGTGAATTTTACGATACTTTAAATTAATTCAGAGTTCTTCTGTCTGGTGTGTCAGAGTAACATATATCAAGTTATCCCTTGAAGATACAAATAATTGCCAGATTAAAAAAAAAAGCCAAAGGTGATAAATTAACAATTCACATTTAGAGGAAGCTCAGATTGCTCTCAAAATTTACCAATCAATCCACTACACAATAATAGGTAACACTGGAATACCACGTTCCAGAGAGTTTGCTTACATTTCTTCTTTAATTCTTATACCACCACCTTCAGCTACACATTATTATCCCCAGTTTATAACTGAGAAATCTGAATTTCAGGCCGATTAAGTCATTTGCATGTATTGGAGCTGGGATCTGAACACAGGTTCGCCTCAGGCGTGTTCTTTTCCTCTTTACCACACTAGTCTCCTAACATGTTTACCATTAAGGAACCCCTAAGGTAGACCAACCCAGGCTAAAGAAATGAAAAGACTGATCCCAGTATTCCATTTCTGAAGTATGAATGCATTTCAGAAGAGAACAGCTTTCCCTGCCCTGGCTGTCACTGTGTTTTTCTTCTCTTGCTCCAATCATTTGGACAAATAGGAAATTGCACATTAGGCAAAGGTCAATGGAAGGGAGTGGATAATGTAATTTGCAAAAGGAGAACTGTTATGAATAGCTGGTATTTTTAGAGTGTTATCTTTCTTGTTCACAATGGGTTTTGGTTTCCAGCCTAATGAAATATAAATTTTACAAGGTCTGAGGAAAGTCGAGAGAAGGGAGACTGAAGCCAAGAATGAGAAGACATAAGGCTCACTCATAAACCCTGCCGGTGAGGTCAGGGAGGGGCAGCAGCTGGGAGCCCTCACAGTTCTGCCTGGGAAGCTCTCTTCCTAGTTTTGCCGTGTTTGAGGGCTCCTCCATGACAACCTCACTCCCACCAGGATTCGGGGCGCCTAGGTGAGCTGCAGGATTTGGAGAAAAGACATGGCTATGAGGATCCTTCCTCTCAATGTGTGATCCAGACCTCGATTGGGCTCCCAGCACTGGCCAGCCAACTCACTGCAGTTTTCTCGTATTTGCTTTCCTACTTGCCCACATGACTCTTGCCCCTGTGGCTTTCTCCTAAACCTTTGCTGGGCTCTACCGCTTGCTATCAGGGGACAGCCTCGCCTTCCCCTCTGTATACAAAGTTTAAGCTCTCAGTCCGAGAGGAGCTCCTCATCTTCCCTCGCCAGATCCCCAACTGGAGTCTTCACCTTCTTCCCTCGTTCTAACCGAGGAGAGGTTTCCACACCTTTCTATGGCAGGTCCCTACTTCCCTTTCCAAAGGCAGCCCCCTTTGGTCATCTGCTTTCCCTCCTCCCCTCTGCTGCTCACGTCTGCTACATTCAAAGGTGCTTTCATTCCTCAGCCCACTCTGGCAGCTTCTCGCTCCACTAACAAGCTCCTCCACAGCCCTTCAAGTCAGCTCACCGTGCCCGCATCTTCCCTCGTCTCCCCTTCCATTCTTTCCAGCCCGCCCTTGGTTCCCACCATTAAATCAAGGCTCCTCTTGACTCGAGTGACCGAGTCTAACTAACAGTCGCTCTGTGCCCCTGACTCAGCTCTCAGAAGTGGGTGGCACAGTGCACTCTCCCCTGGTTCTCAGGACTCCATACTCTGCTGGTCTCCCTCCCTCCTCTCTGCCTGCTGTTTCTCAGACTCCTCCGTAGGCTCCCTCTTTTCTGTCCAGGTATGGGGGTACTCATAGGCTGGTCTCAGCTCCTCCTCTTCTCTTCCCTCTCAGTCTCCTTAGGCAGTCTTATCCACTCCGCTGGCTTTCAATGTCAGCCAGGTTCTGATGACACCAAATGACTGTCCCCAGCTCTTCTGGAGGTATCTGGTATTTCCCACTGTCTACCTGACACCCCCACTTGGCAACCTCAGGGACCTTGCTAGTTTATCCCGTCCGAAAATGAACTTCCACCATACTGCCTCTTTGCAGTTCTTCACATACCCCAGGACCTTAAGTATTTGAGTCTTGGTACATCCAGCACCGTTGACCCAGGGTGATCTTTCCCCAGCTGTGGCCATGACTGACTTCTAGTCTTTCAGATCTGGGCTTCAATTTCAGCACCTCAGGCCTTTTTAAAAAAAAAAAAAATTTTTTTTTCTAAACATTCTCAGGGTGGGTGTTTGGTGAAGCAGTTAAGAAGCCACTTGGGACATCTGCATCCCACATCAAGAGAGCCTGGTTCCAGTCCTGGCTCTACTTGCAATTCCAGCTTCCTGCTAATGTGCACCCTGGGAGACAACAGATGATGACTCAAGTGCTTGGGCTCCTGCCACCTACAAGGGAGACCCAGATGAGTCTCCTGGTTTCAGCCTGGCCCAGCCCTGGCACTTGCAGGCATTTGGGGGGAATGAACCAGCAGATGGAAGATCAGTCAGTGTCTCTCTCTGCCTTTCAAATAAACTTAATTTTTTAAAAATAATTTTTAGAAATTTTGAAATTAAAACATTCTCTTCTTATTTTCCATTACTGCACAGTTTGTTTCTTTCATAAATATTACCACTCATAATGTCAAAGGCCCTCCCAGTCATCTCCCACTCTAGACAAGCAGTCTGTAAAATAAGGGCAGCATCCTAAGCTGCCTTTTTGTTTTCCTTTTTGGGGCTCTTTCTCTTCTGCTAAGCTCCATGTTGTATCCCCAATATGCTGCAACATGCCTATACCTTAGTTAGACCCAGTGTGTTTGGGGGAATGAGCAGGGATCATGAAGTAAAAGATGGGCCACAGGAATGGGGCGACCCTGAATGTCTGGGCTGCCCACCCCTTCCTCACCTCACTGCTGTGGAGCTGCTAAGAGCTGTCTGTCCCCTCACAGCACCTGCTGGAGTAAAAACAAAGGTGGATTTGGGAGCGCGAGGGAAACAGGAGCAGGAGCAGTGTTTGGCCCTTTGTAAAATCTTGTCTCCAGGTAGGAGGTTTGAAAAGAACCTGATGGCTCCTGAAAGACCCTGAGTTTTTGCACAGCCAACTGGGAATTAGGCTCGAGAGAGGGTTTTACTTTCAGATATTCAACTTTCCCTGAAATGATGCCCTGTACTTTCCCCTTCCCATCAGTGGAAAGACAAACGGGGACCCTGATTGTGACGCCTCTGTGCCCGCGCCGCCCCCAAGCTGCCTGGAGGAAGTGAGCCAGGAGACTAAGGCCAGGGTGGAGGAAGAAGCCTACAACAAGGGGTGAGTCAGATCACAGTCACCAAGGGTACCTGGCTGGTCTCGGGAGACACCTTCCCATGGCCTTTCCTGTTTCTTAGTGGCACTGGGGAAGCAACCAGTGGCCTCCAGACCTCCTTGCCTCAGGAAGGAACACAGAGGAAGGAGCAAGACCATTCCACAGGAAGGACAGAAGGAAGCAGGACAGAGGGTGTGGTCTGATAGTAATGACACGGCCTTCTTTTTAGGCAGAAAGCCACCAGAACAGTCAGGGGCCCAGGGTGAATTCCTCTTGGTGGTTCCCGAGGCTTCCTGACACGTGCTCAGGGCACTCATGTTGCTGCCAACAGCACCCAGGCAGCTGCAACTGTACTTCCTAAGACTTTCCTTCCTCATACACACTCTTATCCTCTTCCAACCGTCCCCTTCCCTGACTGTGCCACTTTGGCCAGTCATCAGTCACGGAAGGGGCAGAACACTGGGTAGGGCCCAAGCCCTGGCTCCCAGGTACAGAAAGACCTCTAACCAGGCATTGTGGTTGAACTGTCCTATCCCCTCGGTTCATGAGGGAAATGAACCTTCCCCTGATATAGAACTCACGGGCTTCTGGGTGGAGTCACTTACACAGTGGTGGGCTTGCCCCAGCCAAAGTGCTGGTCTTAAGCCCCCGGCTGTAGAACAGGCACACAGATTTGTTCTGGCTGACATTGATCTTGGGAAGTAAAACAAGTCTTTTCACCCACATCTTTATGCTCAGAGTGCCTGGGGAGAAACTCTTAACATTGACTATAAACATTTGCCAAGTACCTTTCTAGGTTAAGCTTTGTGCCTAGGACTTGCAAAAAAGGTCCCAAGGCCTTGAAATTCCGATGTTAGACAAAAGAGTAAGTGCAATCTTACCCCTGCAAATGTTTTCTAGGATAAGAACCCATCAGGAGAGCCTGGGCCCACATTTTTTCCCTGTCAGGTCTGTCACACTGTCGCATAAACAGGAAGGATGACTGGGGAGGGAGGGGAAATTGTACTGACGTGTGCCACTTTGGGGTTCAGTGGTGCATCACAGTGTTTTCCTGTTGTGTGGAATCACAGGAAGTGCGTAGGATTGGAAGTGCTCAAGTCCCCTGTCCTCCCAACTCAGGAAGGGATGCTTTGAGTCTGGTCTTTCCAGACTCAGTTGTCCTTTTTGTCCACCAGGTACCAGGAAGGTCTGAAGAAGACCAAAGAACTTCAAGACCTAAAAGAGGAGGAAGAAGAACAGAAGAGTGAGAGTCCAGAGGAACCTGGAGAGGTAGAAGAAACCGAAGAGGAGGAAAACGACCGGAGGAGCAGGTGGGACATTTGGAGCCCTTTCCTTGCCACTGCAGAAATGGATCACAGTTCATCTCACTCTTTAATTGCATAAAATCCCTGGAGATGCCAGGCCAGGGCCCACACTAAGTGGCCAACAGAAGCCAGGAAAGCACTCATGTTGGTGAGGAGGTAGAGGAGATGCCAAGGAGAGAAACTAGTTAACAATAGGATGATTTTACATAACTCAGGGGTCAGTGGTAGTCATTGGCAGGGCAGCCGGCCATGGGCCATGGGCAGGGCAGGAGCCGGAAAGGGTGAAGGACCCAGCCCAGTCAATGTCAGCTTCTTTTCCAGTCATCTGCATAAAAGGGCCCAGGCCAAGGGAGCTGGCCTAAAGCATTAGAGGGGGTTTCTTACAAGAAAAGTACAGGGGCAGAGGGAACACATGGAAGAAGGGGCAGACTCAGCTCAGCGGCAAAGATGAGTCTCCAGCAGGCAACAAGCATGGTCACTTGGACAGTACCTTCCCTTTGAATTGGAAGACTGGGGTTTTTCTTTCAAAGTACTTAATATTTCAAGTGTATTTTTCCCTAAATCAGAAGAAAAAATATAGCATGCATGTAAGAAGAGTAGATACTGCACCTTGGTCACTGGTGTCCTGCCTGGACTTTAGGATGTAGAATGGTAGACATAACCTCACCTGGTTCCAGGGTGTTCCATGTGTTGAGGCATGAGAGTAGACTCTCAGCCCCACCGGACCAGGATTACCCCATCCAAGGACATGCTTGGGGGCAGAACATGCTGGTGCTTATAGAAGACGTATACTTTGCCCCACAGATACCGTGACCACGTCAATGAACTGGAATTTCAGGATAGCCCCAATTTCTGCTCTATTGTCTCAATTAGTACATTAAGCCACCTTGGACTTTGATTTTTTAAAAAATGTAGTTATAAAAACCTTGGAGGCCGGCGCCGCGGCTCACTAAGCTAATCCTCCGCCTTGCGGCGCCGGCACACCAGGTTCTAGTCCCAGTCGAGGCACCGGATTCTGTCCCGGTTGCCCCTCTTCCTGTCCAGCTCTCTGCTGTGGCCCGGGAGTGCAGTGGAGGATGGCCCAAGTGCTTGGGCCCTGCACCCCATGGGAGACCAGGATAAGTACCTGGCTCCTGCCTTCGGATCAGCGTGGTGCGCTGGCCGCGGCAGCCATTGGAGGGTGAACCAACGGCAAAGGAAGACCTTTCTCTCTGTCTCTTTCACTGTCCACTCTGCCTGTCAAAAAAAAAAAAAAAAAAAAAAAAAAAAAAAAAAAACAAACAAACAAACAAAAAAAAAAAACCTTGGAATATACTTCACAAATTTTTGTTTTTATACACCTGGGCTATGTTGAAGTCCAGGGCAGCTCCACACAGAACAATTAATTACCTAATCATCTACTGAACTTGGCATGGAGTAAACATCTGGACCTCATTCTGACAAACTCAGGAAGTCACATGCATGCAATGAAAAATGTAGTAAGGTGAAGATTAGAAGCAAGATGGACATGCAAGTGATGGGAACACACATCCTGCCTCTCAAATAAATAACATTTTTTTTAAAATGTGGAATCTCTGCTGCCAGTGGCTGGGTCCTGCTCTCCCTCCTGGGCTCAGTGGCTCTTATTTTCAGGCCCCCACGTTGCCTTCCTTCCTCTCAGGGAGGCAAACCCAAGCCTGAACAAAGTCTTGTCTTTGGCATCCCTGAGTACAGCTAGGAAAGGCTGGAGTTTCTAATGCTTCCAAACACCGACAAGAAACAAAAGAGGAATAAACAGGGAGAGTACATGGAATATAAACAGTGTGGTGTACAAAGCACAGGACTCAAAGCCTTATCTAGTTCATTTGATCTCAGGAGACTGGTGGCTCCTTCCCTTGGGTGAAATCCCAGCGGAAATAAGACTTTGTGTCCCTCTCTGTCCAGCCCCAGGCCATCAGTGCTTGGGAGTGGCCAGCTGGAGCAGCCATCACCGAAGAGTGTCCTGTTGGTCCTGAGAGGCCTCGTTCTAACTCCGACCTTCACTGTCTCTTGCATTAGCTTTTTGGTTTTTGGAAACAGGCCTGTAGCTCAGGGGATGGATATGAGACAGGCGTGCAGCCCTTGGAAGGGTCCTTACCCTTCAGGACTGGGGCTCGGCCTGCCCTTTTCAGGCCCAGTGTGGCTGCTGCTTCTCCTGAAGGGCCAGTGTTGCTGTCAGCAGGTCCTCTTGCACCTGCAACCCATGCTTGAAGGAGCCTGAGAGCGGTTGTCATCAATGCCAGGCAATCCCCATTTATTCCTGAGTCCCTCAGAGCCACAGTTGCCTGCAATGCCTGCACTTAAAGTATTCCCCCAGGAAAAGTTTGGTCCTCATTAAAAAAGTCTGAAGCAATTAAAATTCCATGTCAGCGTGGGCATTGCGGGGCAGTTGGTTAAGCTACTGCTTGGGATATTCACATCCTATACTGCAATACTGGCTTGAGTCCTGCTACTCCACTTCTGCTGCAGCTCCCTGCTGATGCACCTGGGAAACAGCAGCTAATTGCCCAAGTACTTGGGTCCCTGCCACCCACATGAGAGACCTGGATGGAGTTCCCAACTCCTGGCTTTGGCATGGCCCAGCCCTAGTTTTGCAGGTGTTTGGAAAGTAAACCAATGTATAGAAAATCTCTCTTCTTTCACTCTGCTTTTCAAACAAATAAATAGATCTTTTTCAAAATATTAAGTGCTGGGGCTGAGCCGCCTCCTGCAGCACCAGCATCCCATATGGGCACTGGTTCGTGTCCCGGCTGCCCCTCTTCCAGTCCAGCTCTCTGCTATGCCCTGGTAAAACAGCAGAAGATGGCCCAAGTTCTTGGGCCCCTGCATCTGCATGGGAGACCCTGAGGAAGCTCCTGGCCCCTGGCTTTGGATTGGCCCATCTCTGGCCATTTGGGGAGTGAGCCAGTGGATGGAAGACCTTTCTCTCTGTCTCTCCGTCTCTCTGTAACTCTACCTCTCAAATAAGTAAATTAAAAAAATAAAAATAAATGCCTATTATTGCATTTAAAAACACTGAGGTAAGCCCAGCTGCCAAGCTCTTATTTAAGAGATTCAGTAGCAAATGCTGAAATCCTTTTGTCAGAGTTTCTTCTCTGATATATGTAACAATGTAATCTGCTATGAATACTGCTCTCTACGTTTAAAATGGACTTTGGAACCACCATTATCTTAACCATCTTAAAACAGAGAACACAGGTTTGTTATATTTGTATCAGAAATACAATGACCAAATGAGATCCTTAATAAGATGCAACATAGAACTTTTTCTTTTCTCTGTCTTTTCAAACCTGCCTTGATATTTAGGCTACTTCCTTTATTTTCCAATAACTCTCAGAGAGCAGAAGCTTACTTTTAACAACCAGAAAAATCACTTCCAAAGGAACTGTATTTCTAATCCAGTCCCTAAGCTCTTTTATGGGCTAGAAATGGATGATCAGCTCTAAAGGGTCCAAAGCCAGATCTTGACTTTCTCCCTTGCAGGCTCCTCAAGAGTGTGGTTAGAGTGGGATCCTGGGTGCCCCAGCAGCTTGTCTGGGGCATGGAAAAATACAACCCTAAAGACAGACTCCATCTTAGCATCCAATGACATCTACATAGAAACCAAAGTATCCAAACAGGGCTGAGAAAATTAGCTTCCATTTCCAAGCTCTCCCTTCCCAACAGGCGCAAAAGCAATTTCCACATCACTTAGCACTCTGTTGCTCTGCTTCACTGTGCCTGACATGACCTCACAGGTTTCCACATGGAAGGGAAGCCAAGCATGTCCCCTGGGACTTCAGCATCTCGTCTCTTTCTAAGGAGGCCATTGGTTGAGTTTTCTCAATTTATTGCAAGTTGTCTATTTTCTACTGACTCTGAACCTAAGCTCCTCTCAGCTCAAAAGCCAGTGTGTGGCAGTGTCTGTGTAGGCCTCAGGGTCTTCAGGAAGCCCTTCTGTCACTGTCCCCACCTCCTTGGTTTGATAATCCTCAGTGTTCTCATTTCCCATATTACTTTTCAAATGGAGCTGGAATTAAAACCAGGAAATTTTAGCTTAATGCAGGTGGCCAGGGTTTCTCAGAGATATCTAGAATGGACTCCTCAAAGTGATTTCCCAGGCTTGGTGTTCAGTAGGCCACAAAGAGGACACGTCGAAAGGCATTTGGGAAAGAGGCAAGAGGAAAAGGGGGCAAGAATAGAGGCAGGTATGAAGGAGAGATGAAAGGGAAGGAAGCAAGAGAGAGAAGACTGGAGAGAGTGAGGGTAAAGGAAGGAAAAGAAGGGAGAAATTAGAGAATGAATATGAGTGAGGCTGAGAAAACATCTTAAATAAGCCACCTAGAGATTGCTAGAGCCTACTGTATTCTGGTTGCCCTTGGGGTGATTTGAAGTGAGATCTTGGGGTTCATCCAATCCCAACTCAACTGGACATCAAGCTTCTTCTAAAGGTTTATTACACTCATTCCACTCTGGACACTATTGGACATGGAACTGAGAACAATGTGTTACACAATTTAGCACAGAAGCAGGGGACAGATTAGAATGTGGAAATGATTGCTAATATGGCTAAAATCAGAAAGGATTCTGGTCCTGTGTGGATTCATAGGTATACAGATCAGTCACCGTTGTACCTGAGGCTTGTGACAATGCAAGTATCAGTAACCGTTCCAAGAAGAGATGAGGGGATGTGTGAATGGATACATGATCAAGCAAGGAATAGTTTTCTTGACCAGTAGTTGCAAATGTCAAGGCTCTATGGACTGGTGGCATCAAAATTACCTGTGGAAATTTATAGATCACTAAGCCATAACTTTGGAGATTCTCCTTCAGGAGGCCTGGGGTAATAAGAGTAATTGCTGCCAAGTGATTCTATGCACTGGTGAGTTTGAGAACTGTGGCTCTAGACAGCATAGACAGTATCCCCTAGACAGAGAAGTAGGTACCTGGGCTCATATATGTGCCCAAAATACTAAACCCTCCACCTATTTCTTCATTGACAGCAAATTTGAAGAACTGGTTCATTTCTTACAAGTAACATACCCCAAACTATGCCAGCATTGGCACGTGATCTGGATGATGGCTGCAGCGATGCTGGTCTTGACTGTGGTGCTGGGGCTCTACAACTCCTATAACTCTTGTGTGGAACAGGATGATGGACCCCTTGGAAGATCAACTTGCTCAGCAGCCCAGAGGGACTCCTGGTGGAGCTCTGGACTCCAGCAAGAGCAGCCTACGGAGCAGTAGAAAACCTGATACTGAGCTGGTGCCCTGCTCCAGTAGCTTAGCCCAGCACCCCAGCCCTCCATATAGTGCATCAGGCCCAGGTGTGGGCACGCTGCTGTCCATCCTGTCCAGGAATGAGGAAGGCTGCTTTTCACACTTGACACCCTGTGGAGCTATTCACAGACAACAACTTGATGCTCTTGGAGGATCAACAAGACTGCTCTGGGAAAGCTTCTGGTGAACTAAGAAGTCATCTTCTCCAAGGAACACTAAACAAAGGAAAGTTCTTGCCCTTGCTGAGGTGGCCAAGCAGAACTAAACCACCTAGGGGGGACAGGAGGAAGCTCATTTACCCCACTCTTCCTCTCTGCAGTGGGTTGTCAGGAAGAATTGTGCTTAACAACTAATACTGATGCTAACTATCAGACCTGGAATTTGAAGAGACAACATGAATATCCTCCCATTTCCCATCTCATTCAAATGACTATCTTTCAGCCTTCCCTTCTCCCCTTGGGAAGAAACTCTTCTAAGAGTTTCATTTTATAAAAGTAGGAAAGTTTTTTTCAGAAAAATGCACAGACTAAATTTAGCTCAGTGCTTAAAATGAAATGGGGAGATATGAATTAATATATATGCATTTGCAAACACACACACACAACAAAAAAATGCATGTGCACGAAGCCAACAACCCCTCAAAAGTGTGCTCTGGGCGCATGTTCTGGATAAGCAGGATGCATGCCAAGCCAACCAATATTTTATTCTGTGTGGGGCAGTCACCAAGCACTCAGAGTTCAGTGAGCTCTCCACATGGATTGAGGTTTGAAAAACCACTGACGACGCATAGGCTTCCATGGCACACTTACCAGTCTCCATTTCAAACCCCAGTTCTAAGCTGCTATAAAGCACAGTCCTTTCCCTACATGCGCTCTCCTACTGAGGCAGTTAACCCACCTCTTAGGTTCGTGAGAAATGTAGCTTTCAGCTGCAGCCTCCTACTTCAGATGTGCACCCACATGCCAGGGGGGCAGTTGTGCCTCAGCACTTCAGTTCAAATGGGATTTTCAACCCCAACATGTTTCAGGGCATTCCAAATTGCTGTGCATAAACCAAAGGAACATATCCCATCTCCAAGTTGACTTTTTCCCTATCTTGACAGCCACTGCCTTCATTCAACCCTTATGAGTTGGGGGAGGGGGACTGGTTTCCATGTGGTGGTTTTGTTGCTGTTTCGTTGATATTGTTTGCTTCCATTGCTAACACTCAAACTACACAGAAATTACTGTGAGCCAAGCACATCTCTGTATTATATAGGTGTTAACTCATCTAGTCCTTAAGAAAAAGGAGAGACTATGGGGTTTTTAGATAAGGAAAGTGAAGCTCAAAAAAGGCAATTTGCCAAGGACACCCAGCTAGGAAATCACAGAACAAGAATTCAAACCCAGGTAACCTGGCCTCCAGGGGGCTATACTCTTAAAGCCCTTATTACCTTGCCACTTCTGCTATCCTAACTGGACGTCTTACACCCCAGTCTCACTTCTCCAAGTGGTGCTTCACCTACTCTAAACCATTCCTGGTTCCCAGCTAAACAGTTCTCTCACAGCTCCACACCTCCTCCCATTCTTCAGGATCAAGTGCAGAAATCATTCCCTGCACACAGTCTTTGACACCATCCTCCTACACTCTCCACCATTGCCAATACAATAGGGAACAGCCTCCTCTGGGCTTTCTGGCACTGTTGAAACATTTGCACCATTGATCTTTGCCTACAGTATATCATGGTAACTTATTTATATATCTGTTTTCCTGAGTGTTTTTCCTCAAAGACAAGAACCATGCCTTATCCATCTCTTGGGTAAGTGTCTAGCATGGTGGCTCACACTTGGGAGGGTATCACTTAATGTTGGTCAAAAGAACACACCACATTCAAGGTGGTGGAGATCAGCTTAGGGATAGCTGTAATTCTGCATGATTCCCAGTACTAGCATCATCACTGCCCCAGTATCCATGAGAAAAGTCACTTGTTTCTCAATCTTAGATTGTTCTAATATTCCTCAGTCCCCTCTGACAGGAATGAGACCAGACTAGCAAGAAAGACAGGTCTCAGCATATCCACTCCCCTTAGGGAAACCTCTCTGGACCAGTCCCCACCTGAAAATAGTCTGGTATGGGAGGCAGCCTCCTGTACAGTGGCTGGGACATGACTGTGAAAGAAGCCCATGCAAGGGTGGACCAAGGATGTGCCATTAAGGTACAGAGCAGAGGTGCAGAGCAGAGCAGACAGACTTTGGGGGCATCGGTGATTGGTTCACCTGGCCTCTTCCAGGGGTACTGGATACAACCGAAGGAAATTTATGTAAGAACCTCAGAGCCAAAAGACAGGTTCTGAATGGAGCTCCAGAGAGAGTGGCTGTGGGGCAGGACTCTAGCTGGGCAATGCCAGTCTCAGCCTACTTTAAAGAAAGATCAGGCTGGGCTGGGCCACTGTGCACTTGACCACAAGGTTCCCACCCTTGTTTCCAGGTGAGACAAAGAACAAGAGAATAGGTGTAGAGAGCTTCTGCACCTCCAGCTACTTCACAGGAAGGTTTGCTAAAGCACCTCATCCAGACCCAGGCCTTCGCTCACACTGCTGAGGGAAGTCAGAGAAAAGGAGGTCTCCGAAAGGGAGGGCAAGAGTGACCACATTTACTGTGGAGTGGCTGAAAAAGTATTTATTGGTTTATTCTAGAAAACAAAGATCAACAAGAAATAGTTGCAGCTGTGCCAAGGCAGTCATGAAATGGAAAGGTACCAGCCATGTACTTCCAGTGGTCATGTTGATCTGAAATAAAATTTCCCCTTGAAATGCCCCTGTAGTCTGCCATTTCTGCTTTGCCCAAGGTACCTGGTTGCCCACCTTCAGCTGCAGGGTGATGTGTTGTGTGTGTCATTGCAGATGTCACCTCCTAAAAGATACTCACTTTCTGGCTGCCACAAAGCCCTATATAATGCTCCCCGTATCCAGCCTGACAGGATGAATGGAGATGGAGATGCTGGGTTTGTGTATCACTGGCTGTCAGTTGTTAAACCTCACACAGGTGTGTTAGCATTGAACTGTAGAGTGTCACATACCTGAGTTTGAAAATAAAAACACATTTCCAAATCTTTGGCAGAGCCAAATGCTTCCTCATTCTATGGAGCTGGGCCGTAATCTCCGCCCCTGAGTTAGGTCCCTTTAGCCATTCATGTCTCCCAGAACCAAGCCAGAGGTCCTTGGCCTTTGGATCACTGTACTAAGGGCTAGCTCATGGAGTAAGTCCATTCCTGATCCTAGTTTTTTATACCCCCCCAGTCTATGACTTTTTAAAATACATTTTCCTGTAATAGAGACTCCTGAGTTTTCTTTGCCCACCTGATTTCCACAGTTTGTCTATGTTTTTGGTCTTTCTTGTTGCTGATTTCAGGGACTATGCATCTTCTGGACCTAGTACCCTAGAAACAAATTCTCCCACCCAATACTTACACCCTCTTTGTGGTCTTCTGTATCTACCAAAATGAAATGTTGGTGTATTAAGCCACAGAGATGCAGGAATGTCTGTTATGGCTGCTGGCCTATCCTGACCAATGCAGATGTTTGAACCAGAAACGCAGTGCTTTAATGATAAAATCCCAAAATTTGAGAAGTTCGTTTAGCAGTCAACAGGCAGGAATCACTAAACTAATATTAGAGTCTGTAAAGATCGTGACCCATGCTGTTAATAAAACAAAAATACTTGGTGAAGTGATAACCCATGATAGCTTGAAAGGCAGCCCATGGCTAGGCTAGTTCTAGTGGAAGTGGCTGGAAGGAATCAGATGTTGAAGTACTTGAGGCTCTGTTGGCTGCCTTTGGTAAGGTACTACGAGGGGGGAAAAAAGCACTTGGGAAAGAATTGACTACTTGGAAGTATTAAGAACACTGAAGTACTGAAGGATTAGAAAGCCTGACTTCTAAATTCCAAACAGATTACAAAGAGCTTTGAGTGAAATGGAACTTTAAAAAATTCTCAGTAGGCCAGGTCAACTCAGCCTATAGCAAAAGTTAGATTAAGGACATGACCCTTCCATTTGCAGTTTCAAAAGAATGTAATGTATCCACCATTAGATGAGAAAACAGAGAAGCATGGGACCCTGTCTTCAGAAACATGACTGGGAAAGGATTTGGGGTTTGACTGGCACATGGAATCAAATAGATCAGAAATTAACTTTGTGAGGGAATTGTATTTACAAAGAAACACAACCCAGGACTAAAAACTTTGTTCAAATTAGAAAACCTTAGGGATCATAAACTTACACCAGCAGGAAGCAGACTACAAAAGCCATACTCACTAATACCCACCTTAAATGTGCCTAAGATGGGCTAGCGCCATGGCTCACTTGGTTAATCCTCTGCCTGCAGCACCGGCATCCCATATGGGTGTAGGGTTCTAGTCCTGGTTGCTGCTCTTCCAGTTCAGCTCTCTGTTGTGGCCCGGGAGGGCAGTGGAGGATGGCCAAGTCCTTGGGCCCCTGCACCCACATGGGAGACCAGGAGGAAGCATCTGGCTCCTGGCTTCGGATCGGCACAACGCCAGCCGTGGTGGCCATTTGGGGAGTGAACCAATGGAAGGAAGACAATCTCTCTGTTTCTCTCTCTCTCTGTAACTCTACCTGTCAATTAAAAAAAAATGTGGCCAAGAGAGATCATATACAGTGCTTTCACCAGAGGCTGAACAGATAGGGCTGCTGAATCTTTAAGCCTTAAAAACTATGAGGTAAACAAATCTCTTTTCTTTATGAAGTGGCCCAGCAACACAAAACAGACCAAGACAAGTGGGAATGTGTGACAATGTCCTAGTCAGTGGAATACTGGTGGAAGTAATGTAGCCACTGACCAGGCCTGGCCTCTAAAACAATCTCCACCTCAATCCCCTATACTCTGTTCTTGGTTGCTGGCTCAATGTGAAGATCTTGGGGAGAACTCAGAAGTACTAAGTGATAGTCAAGCTATACAGAAACTAATAGAAGAGGCCCCTGTCTCTGAGTAACTACACACACATGCCCTACCACTTTAACCATCTCCATCACCACCTGGGAATCATTGGATTGTGCTGTGAGAGAAATAAAACTTGTAATTTGTTGAGTCACTGAGATTTGGGGTTGTTAGAGTAGTTGTATTACACTGACTAAAACATTTTGCCATCTGTGTATTTTTTAAAGTCCCTGTAATATCAGGTACCATAGAATTATGGCCTTGTGTTGTTATTTAAGTCCACATAATTCAACTCCCTTTTTTGATAGATGATAAACTGAAGCCCAGAGAAGTGAAGTGACTTGCTCAAGATCACACAAATGTTAGACCTAAGCTAAAGTTTAGCTGTTACCTATTACCTTTCTTCCTATCACATTTCAGAATCTCTGCTGTATTTAAATTTCCATTTTCATACATCAAATTAAATATCACTTTCACTCTTATTTTCCATAACCAGAGAATAAGAAAGCTGGCCTACATATTCCCATTTCATTTCTCACCTTTGAAATCTGATGGTTGTTCTTTTCAATTAACTTTACAAATGTCTAATTCTACATCTTTCTTTAATTGCTGATTTTCCTTGATTACAGCATGAGCTATTATTTAGTGAGCAGCTTCTAGCTCTTTTCCCATACCCTGAACGTTGTTTCTCAAAATGGTGGAGAGATTATCTGACAACATTTCCTTTGTGACTCTCCACTTTGACTTTTGGCTCTTGGAAACAAACTTCTCAGAAGCTTATTTTGTGAGGCAGATGTTCGGCACAGTGGTTAAAGGCATTGCGTATTACAGTGCCTAAGTTTAAATCCCAACTTCACTTAGGACTCCAGCTTCCTGCTACTGCACATTCTGGGAGGCAGCAGGTGATGGCTCACGTACTTGGGTCCCTGCCACCACTGGGAAATCTGGAGTTCCTGGCTCCTAGTTTTGGACTGGTCAATCTCTGGTTGTTGCAGGCATTTGGGGATAGAACCTGTGGATGAAACATTCTCTGTCTCTGCCTTTGAAGTAGAATGAAAATAAACACAATTTTATTTTTTAAAAAGTTACTGTGGTGAGAAACCTGGAAGCTCAGGCTGAGCATCTCCATGCCCACTGAGAGAGGCAGCAACTTCCAATCGTGAGTTTTCAGACATATTCCAGTGACGACTTAACTTCTGCCAATGGTGCTATCCAAAGAATAAGACTGTTTCCAGAGACCCATTATTAAGCACCTGCACAACCACACAGATTTCCTTTATCCAAAATCCCCTTCTAGTCACTTGATTCCAAAATGTGGGTAGGTGTCTTCTCATTTCTTATTAGCTATCTTTCCTATCCAAAGCCTTGCCTTCCATGATTCATCTTTTTTCTCTCCTATCTTCCTTCCCTCTCTTTACAATAACTGAAATTACATTTGAAAGCTAGCTGAGTTTCAGGTGTGGATCTAAGCTTTGATGATCTTTGTGATGAAGACACCATTCCTGCCTCTCTGTCTCCCTGGTACCACGGTGATGGAGTCACATGTTTCTTAGGTACTAGGAGCTGAGGATCTGTGCTCACCCAAGTCATGAGGTGTGCACTGGAGTTTATTTATGGGTTATCTCCCTCATCTGTTAGATGTCCCCAGGTTTGCAGAGAGTAGATTCTCTTTTCATTATGGTATTTTCTGCACAGATATCTAACTTTATGACCAGTGGCACTTAGCTAGAAAAGAACTAATTATCCATACACGGTTTCTATGAAAGGTATTCATTTGGGAGAAAGCTCAGAAACCTTTGCCCAGGTATTGCTCACAAATCAAACTCCAAACCACTGAAAACCCACCTGGGAAAGCAGAGTGCTTTCTGTTCATACACAGCACAGGTGTGTGCAGGATCTTAAAAAAATCCACAGAAAATGCATATCATGAAAAACTATATTCAGATTTCAAAAAATAATTTGCACTAAAGTAAGCTTATCTTTTAATTCTACTTTCCATGAACTTCTGGTGGACCCCTCATACCTCACATTCATTAAATGAGAAAGATGAAGTCCCGATTAGATTTTGGTCTGCCAGAATATGAGAGGAGTTAATTACAGAGAAAGTGAGCACATAGAGAATCTCTGAGGTGGTTATTATTATAAAGCCAAAAATCCCCTTATGAAGGGAAAATGAATAATTTTTGTAAATTTTCCCCACTTTTGTTTCGTAAATATCAATTTTTATATGTGTCTGGTTTCTTTGAAAAAAGAAAAACCCCTGTGGTGTGCAGAGATTGCCAACGTGAACAAGAAGTCACACTGAAGGCATGGGTTCTGTTCTTGGTATGTAAATGGGCATTTATTTTCATGAATTTCAGCATCAGTCCACGCACAGATCACAAAGCAATGCAGCAGGCAGGGGAATACTGATGTGGGAGGAAAAGAAGCACGATCCATGCTCAGTCTCTGTTAGAGACAGGTTCTGCAGGCACCAACAATGAACCGTAGGAGAACAGAGCCTGTAGGGGAGGGTGACAGGGAATATGCGAAGTGGGCAAACCTTCAGCAGCTCACACTCTCTCTGCTATCTGTCTTCCTGATTTGTGTGCTTTCTGAGTCAGCATTAGCTAAATTTTCCAGAAAGCCATCCACAAAGCACAGCCTGGGCGTTCAAGGGACGTCACTCATTTCCCCTAGTGACCTTGACGAGTCTGAAGTTTGAAAACAGGGAAATCCGGATGTCTCATTCACGAAGTGGCGCAGTGGGGCCCTCAACACATTTTCAGAACTCTCTGTCCAGACCGGTGACTGAACATCTGCCTGTCTTGCCACCAGTGGCTGTCTGAGGTGCTTCCCTGTCTCTGAAGGGGTGGGCACAATGGCCAAGTGCTTCATCCTGCTGTTGCTTCTTGTCTCCATCTGGCCCACAAGGCTTCTGGCCCAAGGCTCTCTACGAATTCAAGGTAGGTTTCTAAACCAGATTTTGAAGTGGAAGCAAGACAAGATCTTGGGAGCTACCCTAAGCCTACCAAGTTCTTGACCACGGGTTTCTGGGATTGGGGGGGGGGCCCTCGATGTCAAGATCTACTGGATGGTACTGCTCTGCCACTCTGCCAGAAATGTTCCCACCGTGCTGTCAACTTTACTAAACTATTTCTATTTACCTTTATGTCATTTCTACTTTTATTTTTTATTAGGAATATTTTTTCTGGGAATATACCAAATGTTGAGGAGAACCCATTTGCTTTTAAAAATGTTTCACTGAAAAACTATACCAAGATTGTGAAAAGTTTAAAGCAATCACTAATCTTGGAAAAAATAGGTAACTGTCACTAAATACTGAACTGTTTTACATTTTTTGGATGTGCCAGCATAATTATTTTAATTTCAATTTAATATAATCTAAGTAGAAGGCAATGTTTTAAATGTGAAATAAGTTTAATATGCAACAAATTAACTAGGGGAAATATCTGTAAAAACTTGGTTTGAAAATTCACAAGCAGCTCCTTCCCCAAGGAATGACAGTGATTTCTGGGCTTTTGAGATGCTTACATGAAAATTTCAGTTTGCACTGTTGGTAAAAATTTGTAACCACAAGTCACTTATTACAGCTCTGGGCAAATGACAATCTGAGCACTTTTAAGGAGAAGTGTTTGTTCCTATGCTGAACAATGCACTGAGATACAGAATATGCTGGAAACAAACATTCAAAGTTGCTTCACATATTTAAATTTATAAAGAGGTTAGCATAAATGATTGATCTTTTTCATACCAGAACTGTTACTTTCAAATATAGTTTGATGTTCTTTGAAATCCCACTTGAGGAAACTATTCTCTTTTCCCACATTGTTACCATTGTTCAAACTATTTTAGAAAATTGTTCTTGGACAATGATTCCATCACACTCTTTGGAGCATCTTCACTAATGGCAAAAAAAAAAAAATTCCTAAGGGAATTAAAATTTTAGAAGCAGTTCAAAGCTATCATAACCATGACTGCGGAATAAGGTGGTAAAGAAGGTGAGTGAAGATAAGAACTTTTTTGAGAACTTATTACGTAGAGATCCAGAGTTAAATACGTACATACGTTTTCTTCAATTCTCTCTAGAAAGAAGAAACAGGCTCAGTGAGGCCATGCAACTCATCCAATGTCATGCGGGCAGTAACTTAAATTTGAACTTGAATTCACTCTGACCCCTAAACATATACTATTCCTACTATGCCTACTATTTCATGAAAAATCTTAAGGAATGGGTAACTAGAGGATCTCCTCTTAGATTCTAGCTCCTATTTTTATTCCTAAACAAAATAGGAAAGCATAAAATTGGTTAATAGTTGTTGACTGCCTACTATGGATTTAGTTCCTGTTATGTACAAATTACCTAAAATAGTTCTGAAAAAAATCCTGAGAAGATATAACCATTCTCATTTTCCATATGAGAATACTGACTTGATCAAGGTCCCCAAAGCCAAATAGAATTATCCAAAGCTAGGTCATCCAGAATAGGTTTATCATTTCTCTCTAAATTATATTTACAGTAAAATCTAAGTCTGATGAGAGAGTGACAAATAAACCTTCTCTACAGTTAATTCCCAAAGAAGTAGCCATAAGAAGTTGAGTTACAGTAAGCTGATGAGTTAACAGGAGTCAAGTTCCAGGGTAAGTGATATGTTCAGAGAATTCAGTTCTATATTGTCTGTGTGTTTGTGGATCTACCCTGTAGCACAGCAGAAGGCAGAACAGGGTCATAATTAAGAATTGGGGTTGTAGGCATAACTGGGTTTGTGCCCCCAAGTCGCCCCAAAATTTCTTTAAGTCATTGGTCTTATGAAAGTTACTTAATCTCCCTGAGCTTCAATTTTGTCTTTAAAAGGACAGAGTTTAGCAGAGAGTAACACTAACAGGTGACAGATGTTGGAAAGACTATTAGTATTAGGATTAATATTGTATTAGTGGTGCATACAGTCAGATGAAACTGCTCTGTCACCCCAATCACAAACACTCATATTCTGGTGGTAACTCTCCAGTGTCCCTTGGTGACAGCAGGATCTGGTAACAAACAAGCCCATTCACAGATATTGTACCTCAGAGACACATTCTGCCCCCAGCCTCTGTTTCAGAATACAACAAGCTTGCTCCTTCCTTGCTTACGAAAAAATTCCCTTTAAATACAAACCTAGAAAGTGGTCAAAGCATTTGAGAATTCAAGACACAGAGCTGCATTCAGGCATTGACTTGGGAGACTGAAATGCCCTTGTATGGATTCTCACTGATGAAGCCCCATGGGAATAATGTACTTGAATACAATGCCACCTGACAATTTCATACAAGTCTACAAATCTCAGAATGCAGAGGGAAGAGGTCAAAAGAACTCCCAAATCCATTAGGTTTTGAGTAAAAATATTCACATCTTAACCGCTCAAACGCCTCAGTTTCCCCAGGAAGGTCAATTACTAGCAGACAGAAACCAAGATGCCTTAAGGATATCATACTGGCTATGACTGTGGGCCACCCATCATGTGGCAGGAACATTTTTATTGGAATTCAACCCTTTAACTCTTGTTGTCCTATGCGGTAGATACTGTTACTCTCTTGAGATTATAAATAAGGAAATGGAGGCTCAAAGAGGGGAAGTAACTAGCCTAAATTCAAGAGTTAGCAATCAACAAAGGCTAGATCCAAGTCCAGGTCTGACTCTCAAACTCTACTTCCTTTATTTAGTTTCTCTGCCTTGAAGATTTACTGCCCAGCTTCTCCAGGAACATCAGAGAGCTCACATTCTGTTACAACATTTTTCAGCCCATTAGAAATAATGGTGTCCCCAAACTACATTGAATTAGAGAATTGCTAACTATTCTGCTAACCAGAGAACTAAATTCTATCTTAAAGTCTCCAATGCTTTGTTTTTAAAATCATGTATTTATTGACTTGAGAGGCAGAGGGAGAAAACACGCTCCCTTCCACTCTCAAATGTCTGTGAACACCAGGGTGTGGCTAGCGCCCAAGTCAGGAGTCAGGAACTCAATCTGGGTCTCACACATAGGTGAAAGGAACCCAATTTTTTGAGCCATCACCACTGCTCCCCAGGGTATGCATTAGCAGGCAGGTAGAGTCAGGAGTCAGAGCTGTATATCAAACCTAAGTGCCCCAATGTGGGACACACATGGCTTAACAGGCATTTAACCAGTAGGCCAAATGTCCAGCATTCAGATGCTTCATTTTACAAACTCCAAAGAGGTCTGCAGCAACTTTATCAACTAAATCCTACCCCAGAAATTGGTAGCCAAAGTCCCAATAATGAACATACCTTAACACAGTGAGGTAAAAGGGACTCTGATCTGGTGAGATTTACAGCTTGGACCAGCACAAGCATCCATCTAACTCAGCAGCCTGTTTTTGTAGGAAATTACTGGCCCCTGTCCCTCTTATTTCTAAACCCCAGTCACAGCCATTCAAGACCTCCCTACTGCTACAGGACACTACTTTTGCGCTAGGAAGGAGAACCTAAATACTGGAACCAAAGACAGCACAAACTGAGGACCTACGTGATTCCTTTGCAGAGCTTTCCATCATGCTGCCATGCAGAATTGTGGGGGTCACCCTTGTGAACAAAAAGGTAGACCGGCAGTTAAATTTCACACAAGCCAAGGAGGCCTGCAGGCTGCTGGGACTAACTTTGGCCAGCAAACACCAGGTTGAAGAGGCATGGAAGTTTGGCTTTGAGACTTGCAGGTAAGAAACAGCTGGATTCTCTAACATAGTCAGAGCTCTCCAGCTCTGTGCTCTTGTTCAGCAGTGAGAAGTTGCCTTCCAGCCATTTGTGCACTCAATTACGATGGTTTCTCTTACAGCTATGCATGGGTTGAAGAAGGGTTCTCAGTCATCCCTCGGATTCTCCCAAATCCCAAATGCGGGAAGAATGGGTTGGGTGTCCTGATTTGGAGAGCTCCACTTAGCAGAACATTTGGGGCCTACTGTTACAACTCATCTGGTGAGTCAGATCGGTAGCCTCTCCTTGTGGGATATGTTCTCTGCGTATCTCTAATTCTGTGGCCCGTATGGGAAGAGTAACTCTGATATGCAGCAGAAGCAATCGGCAATATTCTCCTACAACTGTGTCTTTAATGAATGGTGGCAATGTGCCTCTTGCATGGAAAAAGTTAGAAAAATGTAGGCAGAAGGCAACCCACGTGGCTCAGTTACCACTTGCACCACCCCTTCAGGCAGAAGGCAAAGAAACCAATGTATAAACATACTTATTGCATCCACAGTGGAGAAAGCAATGTACTAGATTAGTTGTTTCACTGAACTCTGACAACTTCCCCATTTTGCAGATAAAGAAACAGCACAGAGGATCTGGTGCATTTGTCTAAGCTCTCATTACTATAAAGGCTCAACTTCAGCTCCAACTCTGAAACTGTGCTCTTTCCTCCTTCCTATATTGTTTTATAGGGGAGGAAATGCTGACACTACAGTGGTATTTTAAAGAACAAGATCCAATCCCCGTTTCCTAAAAGAAATTGAAGCCTCAAGAGTAGAGCTGACTTGCTCATGGTCATGCTGCCCTGCCATATGACCTTGACGGCAGACCTTGGCTGTCTTAGCCCAAGTGTTTTACCTATGTAATTTCTTGGGAAGTTTTTCTTTCACTAAATATGTGTTCTCAGTTTGTCACAAGAACCCATCAGATTCATTACTCCTCACATTACTCATATATCTGATTTTATAAATGCTGGGCATCTAGTAGTCATATCCAAGATAAGGTTCAAAATCATTCACTAAGATCTAAAAGGTAAATGTAACCAGCCAACATTAGCGAACCTATCACAGAAAGGCAATATAGAATCTAAGCAGTTTTTGAAGCCAAGGGGCTCTGGCATAGGAAAAGCCCTAAGGGACACCTTGTCCAAGTCCCTGACTTCATGGATGAAACAACTGGAGTTCAGAATGGGGATTTAGCATGTCCAAAGACCTACAAACAGTGGCAAAGTCAAGACTGAAATATAGATCTTCTAACACATTTTTTTTACCATCCTCCTTCTCTTCTCTGCCTCTTCAGCCTATCATCTTTGGCTGGAGAACTGGTGATTCACATGCCAGCCTACTTCATACCAGGCCATAGTGTCGAATGTCCTTGCTTTTTTAATTCCCCAGCCTTCCTGCCAGCTGTCAATGTGATGATACAATAGCCAGCCTTGTGGACCAGACAATAAGGAGCCAGGGAAAGAAGACCTAGATTTGTCCGTTTCTTCATGGTTCCATTTAACTTGTAATCCCACCCTCTTTCCCTGTAAACTACATTAGACTTAGAGGCTTGTTCAATATTTCAGGCAAAAATATTTCATAGATGATATTATGTACTTCAGATTATATCACAACAAAATGCACTTAATATTACTTAATAAGTCCCACTATTAAATATGCTAGTTTCAATCATTTCACTAAGGTAGTAAATGTCAGATCTCTCTAATGAAATTATAGCAATATGTCATCCCCTCTTCAATTAGTAGATAAACTACAATGGGATATTTTGGCACCAAGCACATATCCCAAATGATCTTCCAGCTACCTACTGCCTATTAGTTTAAGCAGGCACTGATGATTCCTGCTAAAATCAGTTACTATTGGGGAGTTTAAAATGGTGATTTTTCCAAATCTATCCTTCCTCCTACATATAATAGCTGGTATCATTGATAAAGAATTCTCTCTCTCTCTCTCTCTCTCTCTCTCACTCACACACACACACACACACCTCTTCATACACACAACTTTTCCTTTCCCCTTATACTACCACAGACACTGGCATTTTGCTTATTTGACTCAGTATGTCATCAATTTTACAATTATTATTCCTCTTTTTCTGATGCTCAAACTGTTCTATATCTGCCAAGTAGGAGCCCTTTCTAGTTGACTTTTGTGTCTTTTCATTCATGTTTTAGTATTTCCTTGCTTCTAGACACAATAACATATCCCAGGCTCACTCTATACTTTCTCTGTCCCAGATGTAGAATGAGCCATTTATTTCTCCAAGGAGTCCCAGTTACTTTCAATAGGGGAATGTTAATTAGAAACCAAGGTCTGAATGTAAATTGTTATCATCATACTATGTTTGGATGTTGGGATATTGTCCCCCCCCCACACACACCTCCAGAGGTCCATGTCTTGGGAGCTTGGCTGCCAGTATGGCAATATTGAAGAGGTAGGATCTAATGGGAGGTTCTTGGATCACTGTGGGTGCTGCCCCCAGATAGAAATACTGGTCTGAGGCTGAGTTCTCCCAAGAGCAAATTGTCATAAAAGCTTGAGTCTGCCCCACCTGGTCTCTTGCTGATTTCCTTTATGAAGATGTGAACCCTTCCTCCCATACTTGCACCTTCCATCCGCCATGGGGCCCTTGCAGGGGCCCACACCATGATCTGGACTTTAAGCCTCCAAAACGGAGTCAAATAAACCTCTTCTCTTTATCAAGCTAGCCTGATGCAAGTATTTCATTACAGCAAAAAAAAAAAAAAAAAAAAGGCTGGCTAATGCACATCACCACTGGAGTTCTCACTGCCTCTTGGTATTTTTCAGTAGATGGCTAGGAAATTACATATACTCATACGTATATATGTATGTACATATAAATCATAGATATGATTTATTTGTTTGAAAGGAAGAGTTAAAGAGAGAGAGACAAAGAGAGAGAGAGAGAATGAGAATCTTCCATCCACTAGTTCACTTCCTAAATGGCCACAATGGCAGGGGCCAGGCCAGGTCAAAGCCAGGAGCTTCTTCCAGGTCTCCCACGTGGGTGCAGGGGCCCAAGGACTTGAACCATCTTCTACTGTTTTCCCAGGCCATAACAGAGAGCTGGATCAGAAATGGAGCATCAGGACTTGAATAGGCACCCATATGTGATGCTGGCACTACAGATGGTAGTTTTACCTGCTACACCACAGCACCAGCCCTTTGTCTGATTTTTTGAATAAGCAAAAACATTTACATAGTTCAATAGTACAAAATATACTTTTTGAGAAGTATATTCAGAGAAGTCTTACTCCCATTCCTTCCAGCTTCCAAACACCATTTTTATCCATTTCTGATTTATTACTCTGTTTTGCTTTCTGTACAAAGGGCTGTGCTTATATGTGTGGAACAGTAAGGAAGAGTCTACTTCCCTTTCTTACAAAAAAAACTAGCATATGCACTGTTTTATATATGCCTTTTCCCACTTAAATCCTAGAAATTGCACCATATCAGTTCATGGAGACATTGTTCATTTTTAATGCATGCATAGTGTTTCACTGAGTAGCTATCTCAGTCCATTCAACCAAGCCTCTCTGGACAGACTTTTGGCCTATTTCCAATATTTTTATATTGCAAATAATGCTTAGGTGAATAAATGTGAACATATGCTGTCTCATGTATCTATAAGAATATACTATCTGAACAGAAGCCCAGAAATCATCCTAATGCTAATTCTAACTTTGCTCTAATTTTTTTCTTTTTGTAATTTCCCTTTTTATTGCTACCTTGCAGAGTCTGAGGATCAAAGTAATCCTAAGTCTTTATTATTGCTGGTTTGGGAACCAAAGTAACCCTAGCCCCAAACCCAACGATTTTGTTGTTGCTGTCCTTGTGAGGTTTGGGGACCAGACCAAAGGGCTGTTAATGCTCTGTGTGCACCATTGGTTTTATGCCATTTCCTCTGCTGCAATGCCCATCCTCCTCCTCCTCAGGCTAACACTCATTCTTTTTTCAAATCTTGAGGGCCACCTTCTTCAGGAAGCCTTCCCATGCCTCTTACTCCTTTGTATCCTCTTAGGTATTGACTATACTCTGGGTTTAATATCTATTAGAGCACTTTTCCACATTCTAGAGAACTTGTATTCATAATTTGGGGATACACTGTGCCTGTGATCAATTAGGGACTACCAGGCCAGACTACTGTTGCTCTCTCACTGCGGCCTTCTCAGTCACACATATGAACAGAGGGGCCAAGGTAACAAATTCTTGCAGCTCTTTCAGAATATGCCCAGGCACTATGCTGACCTAGACATTTACTATCTCATTAATCATCAATGAAATGACACTGGTGTTTCAATTCTACTTTTAGGAGGGTAAGTGATGCTCAGAGTGTACTTCACTTGCTGTCCCAGTCAATAAAGAACAGATCCAGAACTCCCATCTTGAGCTAACTGCACTGTGCCATGCAATTTTTATTTAGCACCTGCCAGGGTGACCACACATCAGTAACGTGCCAGACCCGGGTGGTTCTGGGCATCAGTGATTGCAACCAGTTAATTGTAACCTGCGCCAAGGTTGAGAGTCACTTAGATCTCTAAGATCTAAACTTTAGAATTCTTGACATTTCTTAATTCTCCTACTTTGGTGCAACCAAAATCATCTCGTTCTTTGCTCCCAAGTTGTACTCTTTCTCCTCTGTATTTCACCAACCACACACCTCTACTGATGATTCTGTCACTCCTCCATTCCATTGCCTTCAATGAATTTCCACTCCAGAGTAGGGTATGAATTGTGAAGCCTCTTGCACACAAAAGTGGACACAGAAGAGAACTTTGGTATGTAATATAGGAGGCTTGTGGACCAAAGTTGGAAATGACCTCTCCTGCAGAATTCCAAATTCTTGCACAAGGCAGTTGTGAATCTCGATCCTCTAACTCCTGTCTCTCTTCCCAGTCACATCTCCTGCTGGCAGTTTTTCATAGTCCCAATCACACACCCCCCTACACTCTAGCCACACTGTCTTTCTAGTCCCTCATCATTTTTCTAACATGCCTACACTTCCAAACTTTCAGACGCTTGGATCATGCTATTCCTGTTGAGTGGGATATTCTATTCCCTCTTCTATTTGAGATGAGCTGCTTTGTTTCCAGTCACCCTGGCCTTGCTATTCATCAAATGGCTGAGTTCATTCAACTTCTGGCTCTTGAACTTTCTTCTTTGGGCGATTTTGCCCTAGATCTTCAATGACTGGCTACCTTTCACCATTCAGGTCTCAGCTTAAGTATCACCTCCCCAAGAGACCTTTTCTTAAAATCACCCTATTCACAGGATCTGTGGCCCACCCCTTTGCCCCACCAGTTTAATCTGTATCATGTTTCACTTTATTTTAAACATTTATTATCCTTTGAAATTTCTGGTATATTTATTATTTTTAAAAATTATCTTACTATCATCCTAATGCATACAAGCCCTCTAAGAGCAGAGACGTTATGTTTGTACCATGTCCCTAACACCCAGAGCAGTGCCTGGTATGGAGTTGGTTCTCTGTAAATATTTGTTGAATGAACTCATTAGCCCTCCATACGATGCCTAAATGCCAGCTCCTCTGAATCCCCAGGGATCTACCCTGATGCTTATCAAAATGCTGCCTTTGTCCTCCAAGAAGTGGGAACCATACCTGTAAGAAAAAGGGGAGCAGAGCAGACAGGAGACAGCCAAAACAAATTTATTCAAGGGAAAATAAATTCACAGAGGTGGCCAACTGCCAGCGTGCACAGAGACCAGGCAGAGGTCCCAGTCCTATAGCAGGCTGGATCTTAATACATCTTAGGATGGGCTAAGGGTCGGGGTTGGGGGGCAGTAGGCAGAGGTGAGTTTCTTCTTACAGGTTTTTCTTGGGCTTTCAAACTTGGAAAAGAATGCAGAGGGTGGGTGTGGAAGAGTACACGGTGTAGGACTGAACTGGCCCCTTGAAAGAACGCAGGGGTACAGGAGTCTCTCAGGGAATTTGATTTACGTTCAGGCAAGGAACTAAGATGACTGAGGTTTATGCCTTTGTTCCATCAACACCTTATTTGTCAGTGTAGCTTCAGTTCCCACATAGCATATTCATCTCAGTATGCTTTTCTTCATGATACTGAGAAGTGTTCATTACTTGGAAGAACTTAGCATATATTGAAGGATAGAAATATGGTTGAAAGCTCAGGGCACCTATGGTAGCCATGTCCTGCTCAATATCCTGGCTACTCTCAGACCCCTCCTAAAGTCCAAGATCATCACAAAAGGACCAAGAAGTTCATCTACCACCAGCTGCACCAGTATGTCAAGATTAAGTATAACCGGCAGAAACCCAGAGGTACTGACAACAGGGTATGAAGGATCAAGGGCCAGATCTTAATGCACAGCATTGGTTACTAGAACAACAAGACAACAAAGCACATGCTGCCCAGTGGCTTCTCCAAGTTCCTGTTCCACAACATCAAGGTGTTTGAGATGCTACTGAGGTGCAACAAAGCCTTCTGTGCTGGGATTATTCACGGTGTTTCCTCCAAGAACCTCTAAAGCCACTGTGGAAAGAGCAGCCCAGCTGGCTGTCAGGGTCTACAACCTCAACGCAGACAGTTCATGTGCAGGTTTTATTTGTGCTGTACCAGGTAAAACTGCAGCCTGGGGATGCCAGTTTGAGTCCCAGCTGCCCCAGATCCCTGCTAATGTGTCTGGGAAAATGACCCAAGTCCTTGGTCCCCTGCCACCCAGGTGTGAGACCCAGAAGAAGCTCTTGGATCCTGGCTTCGGGCTGGCCCAGCCCTGGCTGTTGTGGCCAGATCCTGATATCTCTCTCTAGCTCTTTCAAATAAATGAGCAAACTTTTTTTAATTTATTTTATTTGAAAGACACAGTGAGAGAGAGAGAGGTCTTCCATCCGATGGTTCACTCCCCAAATGACCGCAACGGCCAGAGTTGAGCTGATCCAAAGCCAGGAGCTTCTTCTGGGTCTCCCATGTGGGCACAGTGGCCCAAAGCCTTGGGCCATCTTCTACTGCTTTCCCAGGCCATAGCAGAGATGGATGGGAAGAGGAGCAGCCGGGACTAGAACTGGGGCCCATATGGGATACCGACGCTACAGCCTGTGGCTTTAACATGCTGCTCCACAGTGCCAGCCCACAAACATCTTTTTAAAAAATTTATTTATTTGGAAGTCAGAGTTGCACAGAGAAAGGAGAGGCAGAGAGAGAGAGGTCTCCCATCTGATAGTTCACTCCCCAATTGGCCACAACAGCCGGAGCTGAGCCGATCCGAAGCCAGGAGCCAGGAGCTTCTTCTGGATCTCCCATGTGGGTACAGGGGCCCAAGGACTTGGGCCATCTTCTACTGCTATCCCAGGCCATAGCAGAGAGCTGGAATGGAAGTGGAGCAGCTGGGTCTTGAACCAGTGCCCATATGGGATGCCGGTGCTTCAGGCCAGAGTGTTAACCTGCTGTGCCACAGTGCTGGCCCCCACAAACATCTTTTTTAAAAAAAATTTAGTACATGGATGGCTAAAATATTTTATCATTAGATCCAGCCCTTGGTTGGTATTTTACTTCATTTAATTTTCAAAAATTAAGCATCTTTATAGATTTTTCTTCATAGCCAACATTCTAGTTGACCGTACCCTCTGCCACAAACAGAAGTTCAAAACAGACACAAATTCATATAATGTATTGCATATCTCTGCCAGTCAAAAGTATGTGACTTTGGGTAAGCAATTTCTCTCGACTTCATTTTCTTCCTGTTTGAATAAGGGTTGGACAAAACTGTTCCAAGAGATACTTATTTTAACATCTACTGCCATAGCTGATTTAGAGTAAGATGCTCAACATATGTTAGCTCCCTCTCTACCACATTCATCTACTTAGAAAGCAAATTCACATCCTTCCCTCAGTCCTCTTTCTTTCTGATGAGCACAGAGAAACCTGGCTTTAGCAGATCTTCTCCTAAAGTGATATCACATGTGTTTTTGGTCGCCCCATCTAATCCACCTTCCTCTCACTTTTACTTCCTTCTTTATTTATCAAATATTTGTTAAGCATGTCCTATGTGCCAGGCACAGTGTAAATACTATGATGACCAAAACAGACAAGGTTCCTGTTTCTAGGGTACTCACAGGTCAGTGGGGACAAATGCAGTGAGAACTGGGACAAGGGGAACTACACGGAGGTACTAAGGCACATGCCTGGGACCCATTCTGCCAACAAGTGTGCTGAGAACAATGTGGTTGATCCGAGTTGAAGGACAGTAGGAGAAAGCTGAAGAATATTAAGAGTGAGCTGAATAAGAAGAGCCAAGAGTCTTAAAGGTGAGGAAAGCATCATGGCCGAGTGTGGAGAGAAGGCCTATTAGAGAACTACAGGCATTTCAGTGTGGCAGGAGCAACGAGAGAAAGCCTGCGCAATGAGTCTGCCCTTGTCAGCTGGGACCATAGATCACAGAGGGCCTTACAAACCATGCAGTAGAGGCAGGCACTGAGGATGCTACAGAAGGAAGGAAGGATTACATCTGCATTTTTGGTGAGACCATTCTGGCTGCAGTGTAAGGGGTGTGGGGTTGGGGGTTCTAAGACTAAAAACAGGACACCATTGCCTTATTTAATTCTTATTTCATTTTGCCCTCTCCCAACAGATACTTGGGTTAACTCATGCCTTCCAGAAATTATGACCACCAATGACCCCATGTTCGACACTCAAAGTTCAATGTACACAACAGAGTTTGCGGTCAGTGACAGTACCTATTCAGCATCATCCCCTTACCCAGCGACACTTGCCCTTGGTACTACTCCAGCTTCGGCTTCCACTTTGGCTCCACGGAGAACCAAAATGATTTGCATCACAGAAACTGTTACAGACACTAGCACCATGTCTACAGAATCTGAACAATATACTGAAAATAAAGCTACATTCAAGAATGAAGCTGTTGGGTTTGGAGGTAAACACTTTCTGAGCCTGTTATGTGTATTCTTGTTTAACAATATGAGGGGCTTCAGAAAGTTCATGAAAATGCACATTATCTTTTAACTGCATTTTTCCAGAAACCTTTTGAAGCTCCCTTGTACGTAAGTTGCAGTCTGTCTCCAGATTGGGCACTCAGGATCTGCCAAATTCAGAGAAAAGCTTAATGCAAACTCAACTTTCACAAAGTCAGTTTTCATAGAGAACTTAAGAGATGCAACAAACCTTCGTGATTAAAAATAAGTAGTGTAAAAGAGCATCACTGTTGAAAACTCAAAGACTTAAAAATAGATTACTATTATTATGTAGAAGTTCTTTTAAACAGATACACCATAAATTCCTATGATTTCATTCCAGTCATCCCTTTTCCAGGCAGCAGAGGATAAGTGGAGCCCATATGTCATGTTGTAACTTCTAGAATAGACAGGATTAGACTGGCAAGAAGTATAGAAGCTGATGCAGGCCCAACAGCATAAGCAGTCACAGAGAAGCCTTTTCCCCTGTGCTATCAATTACTGCAATCGCATATACAGGCAAAACCTTAGTGCATCGTACACACAAGCTCAGGTGATGGACCACCTGGCCTTGTCTCTGTTTCCTCCAGGAGTTCCCACAGCGCTTCTGGTGCTCGCTCTCCTCTTCTTCAGTGCTGCAGCCGGCCTCGCGGTTTGCTACGTCAAAAGGTGGGGTTGTTGGCACATCTCTGTGCTCCCTATCAATCTTGCATATTATTTCAACAGATGCTTCTTATCCAGGCCTTAAAAATAGATGTCTATATCTAAGGTGTCTATATCTGGGTATCCCTTTGAATCTGTGGGAAATTTTTATGCTTTGGTTGTGGGTTCTTTGTTTTGGGGGGCAGAGTTGTGAAGCCAGTCTAAAGTTTGGCTGATTTAAATGGGTGCGTTAAAGTGGGACGTGTTGATGTGTTGGAGGAGCGTGCAGACGTGACATATTGCTCTGAAATAAAGGTGCCAATATGTGCACTCACATGCAGAGCATTGCCTATTGTTTTACGCGCTTTTAGAAGTCTCTGGTGTTAAGTTTAAGTCTCTGACATTAATTTTATGTTTATCCCTAAAGGTACGTGAAGGCCTTCCCTTTTACAAACAAAAGTCAGCAGAAAGAAATGATCGAAACCAAAGTAGTGAAGGAAGAGAAGGCTGATGATAGCAACCCTAATGACGAATCAAAGAAAACTGCTAAAAGCCCAGAAGAGCCCAAGAGTCAACCCAAAACAACAGTGCGATGCCTGGAAGCTGAAGTCTAGATGAGAAAGGCATGAGAAAACACTCCTGAGGCTGGCTTCTTCCCTGATACATATCCTGACCCCAGTTGAGGAAACTAAAAGGACCAAAGCAGAACGTTCACCCTTGGTTTCTAGCTGGAATCAACTCAGGGCTGCCTTTGGAGTTCACCAAAAGGAACTCCCTTCTTCTTGCCACAATCCCTTCTGGATCCTAGGTCCTCCCACCTCCCAAACTTCTCACAGCCTCTCTAACCTGACTATGTTCTAATAATATCCCAGTGGGGGAAAGAGCTGTGCATAGCATGAGGACCTGAAGCAAAGAGCTCATCAGGCCACTCATCAGGTGAGCTGAGGGCCAAGGGGTCACTGAGACCAGCGGTTCTCTACTGTTCTACAGTCCAGGCCCTTTCTTCAGCTCTGAAAGGGAAACACTTATACAACCTGGCACATCTATCTGAGCCAGGCAAAAGCAAAAGAAGGGAGGAAAGCCTTAGCGGCTGAAAGCCATGGAGATTCCTGTGACTTGAGACCCAATCTCTGTCAAGCCAAAGTAAACAGCAACAGCAGGAGACCAAGGATGCTGACAGCACTACAGTCAGTGGGAGCTACAGACACAGCGGCCAAGTGCTCCTCTCAAACAAAATGAGTTGGAGTCACTTCTTAGCACATAACACATTTTCTTTTTATTTCTCCTGATGATGATATAGCCTCTAGAGGAATATACTTCTAAAAGAATCCTCAGAAAAGTAATTTTACAAGCTTTTATTTTTATCTGAGTTACAGAAAAATTATTGCTGGGGAAAATACTGTTTTTAAAAAGTAATACTAGTCAACAAATCTTTGCTGAATGACTACTACAGATTCTGTATTCCTTATCCAAAATGCTTTGGACCAAAATTGTCCTAGATTTTGGATTTTTTTTATTTTGAAATTTTGCATTTATATAATGCTATATCTTGGGAATGGAATCCAGGTCTAAACACAAAATTCATGTATTTTTCACATACATTTTACACCCAGAGCCTTAAAGGTAATGTTATACAATATTTTAAATAATTTTGTGCATGAAGCAAAGTTTTGTGGCGTGGAATTTTCCATTGTGGCATCATATCAATGCTTGAAAGGTTTCAGATTTGGGAGCATTTCTAATTTCAGGTTTTCAGATGAGAGACACTCAACCTGTGTCCATCAAGTGCAGGATACTGCATTCTGTAATTTACTAGTCATAAAAAAAATGCATGGAGTAGAATGCTCTCTGATACTAATGTTTTTCTGTTTGGATATTCCTGGCTTAACTATTGTATTTCCAAATTAATTTTTAGGCTGTTTTGGTTTTGCTAATACTAATCTTTTCATTTTCTCTCTTATGGCAGCCATTACAATCTTAATTTATTATTAACATCCCTAAGAGGTACATTACCACCTTTACTCATTTTTAAAGCACATTTTTAAAATGTTATTAATAAATGTATCACTAGCTCTCCTTTTTCTAGCAAGAAGAGCCTATAAGGTGCAGAAATATTTGTGCCAAAAAATTAAAGCATTTAGAAAACTTCTTTGTTCTCTTATTTAACAGATGCACTATACCTTTCATGCATGATTAAAGTACCAATCATAATCTGTGGTTTGCAAAGTAAAAGGGACAACTTTGGTTATTAAAGTTCAAACATAAATGCAGCAGTACGTCCAAGACCATGTGGGGCTGCTCTGGCTTCGAATGGTCTTGTTTGAAGCTGGCCAAGCACACACACATCAAACAGCCTGAATCACTTGGGCTTTCGGTCCTACACTCCAATCCACAGGGGAGCTGGAGACTCAGGAGAGCTCGTTTGTCTGGAGACTCTAGTTCTCACTCCCTCCATAATCACATCGCACCCCAGGCCACCCCACCCCTTTTTGCTAATTCTCTTCTTGCCTGCACAAGTGACCCCATGATCCTTTTACTGAGAGGCTGTAACCTGCGGGCATAGTCTTCAGTTGACCTACAACTAAATCTAGCTTAATAGCCAAGAATTAAATCAAGAGATTTCACATATTTATATTTCCAGATTCCTTTGAAAATGGGAGATCTGGAAACGGAAAAGCCATATTCCCACTGAGCAATGATGATCTGATGCTGAGCAGTGCTCTAAATGGATTGTGTTTTCCCATTTCTTCACTTCCTTGTCACTATCGCATCCCCATACCAAAGTTAAGGTCTCCACACTATGTTGCTCATTTGCATTTCCTACCTAGTGCTGGAGGTCTAGGAGTCTGACACTGTGGTTTGTCAGTCCTTGAACTTTCAGCTTTGTCCAGCTCCAAGAGAGTAAAGAAAAAGGGGGAGGGCCTAAGCAGCACCTTCCCTCTGTGCACATTAGCTGCACAGGTATTCATACCGCATTTCCCATCTTGCAGGCATCTACCACACATCAGGATGCCATCATCTTCCATTAGGATGTCCATCTTCCGTGGTTCGTTTATGCACATATGTGCCCTGCCCAGGAGAGTCACCATATATGCAGGTTCTGCAGCCTCAGATTCAACAAAGCACAAATGAAAACATTTTTAAAAAAGGTGTGTTTTGGGGGCCAGCATTGTGGTATAGAGGGTTAAGCTACTGCCTGTGGTGCCAGCATCCCATATCGGTGCTGGCATGAGTCCTAGTTCTACCTCTGATCCAGTTCTCAGCTAAGATGTCTAGGAAGGCAGCAGAAGATGGTCCAAGTGCTTGGGCCCCTGCCACCAATGTGGGAAACCTGGATAGAGTTTCAGACTCCTGGCTTTGGTCTGGCCCAGCCTCAGCTGTTGCAGCCATTTGAGAAGGGAACCAGTAGATGGAAGATCTGTCTCTTCCTCTCTTTCTGGAACCCTGCTTTTCAAACAAACAAATCTTCATTTTTTAAAGGTACATTTGTACTGAACATGTACATACATCATTATTTCCTAAAAGCATAACAACTATTTATGTCATATTAGGTATTATAAGTAATCTAAAGATGATTTAAAATTTACAAGAGAATTGCATAGGTTATATACAAATACTGTGCCATTTTACACAAGGGATTTGAGCACCTCCAGATTTTGGTATCTGGCACCAATCCCCTAGGGATACTGAGGGATAGCTGCAGTCACTCCGTGTGCTTACAGAAAGCCCTGTGAAAACATACTGAAGTAACTTCTAGCATTGTGCAAACAAGAGAAGGGAAGCACAGGGAAGGGAACCAATATTTATTGAGCACCCACTATTTAATGCTCATTTCACACATTGTCCTATTTAATCTCTATATGTTCCCCTAGAAGAATTATTACCATCTATTTGTATTAATTAGAAAATTTTCAGGGCCAGCGCTGTGGCACAGCAGGTTAATGCCCTGGCCTGAAGCACTGGCATCCCATAAGGGCGCCAGTTCTTGTCCCGGCTGCTCCACTTCCGATCTAGCTCTCTGCTATGGCCTGGGAAAGCAGTAGAAGATGGCTCAAGTCCTTGGGCCCCTGAACCCACGTGGGAGACCCAGAAGAAGCTCCTGGATTCGGATCAGCGCAGCTCCAGCCGTTGCAGCCAATTGGGGAGTGAACCATCAGATGGAAGACCTCTCTCTGTCTGCCTCTCCTCTCTCTGTGTAACTATGACTTTCAAATAAATAAATAAATCTTTTATAAAAAAAGAAAATTTTCTAAGGTTATAGGTATACTTAAATGACAAAAGTATGATTCAATCTAAGGTCAGAATGACTACAATGCCCATGTTCTTTTCTCTACACCATAATATTTCTCTTGCAAATGACAAGGTAAGAAACAGGTATAAACTTTCAGTATGCAAGCTCAAAATTAGTCACTTACCAAAACCAACAGGGTGAAATACAGAAAATAGCTCAAGACTCCCAGGCCAATTTTAGGAAATCTTTCCTTCTTAAATCCATTGGCAATGAGAGGGGGGAAAGAGGACCACTGAAGAACTTTCGGAACTGCCTCTCATTGATACCAACCCCAACAGAGACCTACCTGGTCCAGTTCATAAGACTGAAAAATCTAAGGCTTAGAATACAAGATAAACTCCTTTAAACTTTTTTTTTCCCCATAGAGTTTAAAAAAAAAAAATGCAGCCTAATATAACAGATGGCTAGAGGTAGAGCCTGGTCTAGAAGTCTCCTCCCTAATCAAATACTCTTTATTTTCCACTGAACAACGAGAAATTGGAGAATAAACGCACCACCCAGTTTGTATCTACAATCTAGTCTACCAAAGCAGTCTTCTAAACAGGCAGATAGAAAACCACTGATGATATTTCCAGGTTACATGAAGGATCTTCCTGCCCAGAAAGGCCCCTATTTCATGTTTACCTCCCTGACTCCTGTGCAAAGACAATTTCCTAAGGATTCTCATATGAAATATAACAGTTTTTCTTGTTTTGTTTGTATTTGAGGGGGTACAGAAACAGAAAGAGACGGAGAACAAAGAGAGTGCCTCCATCTGCTGATTCTCTCTTCAAATGCTTGCAACAACCAGGGTTGAGCCAGGATGAAGTCAGGAGCAGGGAACTCAATCCAGGTCTCCCACCTGCTTGGCAGGAACCCAATTCCTTCAGCCATCACTGCCGTCTCCCAGGGTCCACATCAGCAGGAAGCTGGGGCCAGGAGCCAGAGACAGGCATCCAGCCCAGGACTGGGATCCTAGCCACTGGGCTAACCACCTGCCCCTTGCATGCTTTTTTATAAGTAACAAATATTAACATGTCAATATAAGCCCAATAAAGAGAAGCTGAGCTGTTAAGGGTAGAAGGCTGGAGTAAAGCAGATGACTCAATGCCCAGCGTGGTGCTCATGCACAGCTGGAGTCTACATGTCCATTGGCTTGTACAGAATTTAACCATTGATTTCCAGACTAAAGAATCCAACGTTGTATTGCCTCTAGACCTTCAGTGAGTGAGCAAAGCAAAAATCAATTCCTCTAGGAAAAAGCAGGTTTGTGAGAACAATACTAACAAACTCTTACTAAAGATTGAGAGGGTCACCCACAACAAATGTTTTAAGCCACTAAAAATGAAGAAAAGTTAGTTTAATCTTCAAGTTAAAAGTAAATAAATTTAGGTTTTTTGCTCCAATAATGGTTTTTCTGTGAGGACAGTTATGACCAAAGAACATTATAATAATACTAAAATCAGATGGGAGTAGTCATCGCTCCATATGTTCCCCAGGAAATGCCCAAATTTCTAAACAGTGCTAATGTGGTTTAAGATATCCCCTTTAATCTGAAGATCACTTACTTTAAAAAAAAAATCAAAAAAACCCTGTTGGGGTTGGCACCGTGGCACAGCAGGTTAAAGCCCCAGACTGCAGCACTGGCATTCCATACGGATGCCGGTTCAAGTCCCAGCTGCTCCACTTCCTATCCAGAAACCAGAAGATGATCTAAGTCCTTGGGTTCCTGCACCCCCGTGGGAGACCTGGAAGAAGCTCCTGGCTCCTAGTTTTGGATCGGCTCAGCTCTGGATGTTGCCACCATTTGGGGAGTGAACGAGTGGATGGAAGACCTCTCTCTCTCTCTCTACCTCTCTCTGTAACTCTCAAATCTTTTAAAAATTGTTTCAGAAGTCTTAGATTTACAAAAGTTGTGCAGTGCAGAATTCCCATATATCCCATACTCAGCTTCCCTTAACATCTCATATTTGTCACAATTAATTGACACTCCAGTAACTGAAGCCCATACTTTATTCTGATTTCTGAAGTTTCTACCTAATGGTCTCTTACTATCCCAGAATCCTATCCAGGATCCCACATTACTTTTCTGTGTGTGTGTGTGTGTGTGTGTGTGTTTAAGATTTATTTATTTGAGAGGCAGAGTTACAGACAGAGGGAGATACAGAGATAGAGGTCTCCCATCCACTGGTTCACTCCCTAAATGTCTGCAATGGCTGGAACTGGGCCAATCCGAAGCCAGGAGTTTCTTCCAGTCTCCAACGTGGGTGAAGAGCCCTAAGGACTTGGGCTGACTTACACTGCTATCCCAGAGCTGGATTGAAAATGGAGCAGCCAGAACACAAACTGGTGCACTGCAGGTGGTGGCTTAACCCCCTATGCCACACACTGGTCCCCTTCTACTGCCTCCCCAGCCATTAGCACAGAGCTGGGTCAGAAACGGAGCAGCCAGTATTCGCACTGGCGCCCATATGGGATGCTAGGGCACAGCGTCATCCCCCTACCCCTGTCACATTACTTTGAATTGTCATGTCTCCTTAGGCTTTTCTTGGCTGTGACAGTTTCTCTGACTTCCCTTATTTTTTAATAACTCCATCAGTTTTGAGTACTGGTCAGGTATTGGGCAGAGTGTCCCTCAACTGAGATTTCTCTGATGTTTCCCCATGGTTTCATGGGGTAACATGTTTGGAGGAAGACGACCGGGTAAGTAAACCATCATCTTCTTCACATCAAATCAAGGGTCCACACTATCCACAGGACCCATCTCCGCTGGCATTAACCTTGGGCACCTGGCTGAGGTGGCATTTTTCAGCCATTTTCTTCCCTTCTTTCTGTACTATATTCTTTGGAAAAAGTCACCATGCACAGCTTCCATCAA